TAGAATAATCTTACACACAACTTCACCAAAGAACCAATGACAGATAACGCTTAGTAATTAATTTTACTTTCTAAATCTTACAAAGTCCCATTGTAAGTAAAATGGTGAAATTAAGGTTAGGAGGTGTCAATTAACATCAAGCTTGGATAAGATCTAGAAGTGAATATACATTGTCTATTGGTCCATATGATTTTAAAACAGACTTTTGTTGTTACCGGATGATGTGTATATTGTAATAAATATACGGTTTTAACTGCAAGACACTCTGATTCGATTAATTCAGAAAACTGGAAAAAAAAATATCTCACAGAATGCAAATTTCCTACAACTCCATTTTGGTATCTTCAGGAAGAAAAAAAAAAAAAAGACATTATTTCTTGCTTTCTGTAACTAGCCATTCCAGACTGAGCTAAGGAATGCGTTATGTAAACAAGATATGTGATAAGGAATGAAGTCTCACAGCAAGAAGGGGGATAGATTACTAAGTCCAGAGACAAGTATATACACTGCTCAAAAAAATAAAGGGAACACTTAAACAACACAATGTAACTCCAAGTCAATCACACTTCTGTGAAATCAAACTGTCCACTTAGGAAGCAACACTGAGTGACAATCAATTTCACATGCTGTTGTGCAAATGGGATAGACAACAGGTGGAAATTATAGGCAATTAGCAAGACACCCCCAATAAAGGAGTGGTTCTGCAGGTGGTGACCACAGACCACTTCTCAGTTCCTATGCTTCCTGGCTGATGTTTTGGTCACTTTTGAATGCTGGTGGTGCTTTCACTCTAGTGGTAGCATGAGACGGAGTCTACAACCCACACAAGTGGCTCAGGTAGTGCAGCTCATCCAGGATGGCACATCAATGCGAGCTGTGGCAAGAAGGTTTGCTGTGTCTGTCAGCATAGTGTCCAGAGCATGGAGGCGCTACCAGGAGACAGGCCAGTACATCAGGAGACGTGGAGGAGGCCGTAGGAGGGCAACAACCCAGCAGCAGGACCGCTACCTCCGCCTTTGTGCAAGGAGGAACAGGAGGAGCACTGCCAGAGCCCTGCAAAATGACTTCCAGCAGGCCACAAATGTGCATGTGTCTGCCCAAACGGAAACAGACTCCATGAGGGTGGTATGAGGGCACAACATTCACAGGTGGGGGCTGTAAGCACAACCCACTGTGTAGGACGTTTGGCATTTGCCAGAGAACACCAAGATTGGCAAATTCGCCACTGGCGCCCTATACTCTTCACAGATGAAAGCAGGTTAACACTGAGCACATGGGATAGACGTGACAGAGTCTGGAGACACCGTGGAGACCATTCTGCTGCCTGCAACATCCTCCAGAATGACCAGTTTGGCAGTGGGTCAGTAATGGTGTGGAGTGGCATTTCTTTGGGGGGCCGCACAGCCTTACATGTGCTCGCCAGAGGTAGCCTGACGGCCATTAGGTACCGAGATGAGATCCTCAGACCCCTTGTGAGACTATATGCTGGTGTGGTTTACCCTGGGTTCCTCCTAATGCAAGACAATGCTAGACCTCATGAGGCTGGGGTCTGTCAGCAGTTCCTGCAAGACAAAGGCATTGATGCTATGGACCAGCCCGCCCGTTCCCCAGACCTGAATCCAATTGAGCACATCATGTCTCGCTCCATCCACCAACGTCACGTTGCACTACAGATTGTCCAGGAGTTGGCAGATGCTTTAGTCCAGGTCTGGGAGGAGATCCCTCAGGAGACCATCCGCCACCTCATCAGGAGCATGCACAGATGTTGTAGGGAGGTCATACAGGCACGTGGAGGCCACACACACTACTGAACCTTATTTTGACTTGTTTTAAGGACATTACATCAAAGTTGGATCAGCCTGTAGTGTGTTTTTCCACTTTAATTTTGAGTGTGACTCCAAATCCAGACCTCCATGGGTTGAAAAAATTGATTTCCATTTTTTAATTTATGTGTGATTTTGTTGTCAGCACATTCAACTATGTAAAGAACAAAGTATTTCAGAAGAATATTTAATTCATTCAGATCTAGGATGTGTTATTTTTGTGTTCCCTTTATTTTTTGAGCAGTGTACACTAATATATACATCTTGAGGAGTGGGTGGGAGGGTCTTCAAGCAATATGGAGTCAGGTAAGGGGTGTCCCTTACTACTTATTACTATTAATTACATTTAATCAGTATTATGTTAATAATATAGACCATTCATGGATATTCATGAAGAAATATCATATTATTTCATAAATGTTAGTGGAATAGAAAAATAATGTCTCACAGCTTCACAAGAAAGCCAGACACTAGTGAAATATAACACATAGTAATTAATATTTACTTTCTAAATCTTACAAAGTCCCATTGTAAGCAAGGGGTGAAATTAAGGTTTAGACATGTCAAGAAGCAGGGGAGGGCTGGCAGCCTTAGGCCTGGGGGGCAAAACCAGTCAAGTGGCCCATTGCACCACCAAATCAGTTCACCATCCATGCCCACCTTTTCCTGGTTTTATAACGGATATTGATGTTATGCTAATCAGTAGCTCTTTGCCATACCCGCTCCTTCACGGCTCCAGGCACTGCTTGTTGTGAGTGTGAGCCACTGTAAATTAGGGGCAGAGGGCACTTGCACTGCGGTAAAGATGGGGCTGGACAGGAGGAGAGTGCAGTGCAATCAGTGCACTCCCCTCCTGTGGGTCACCAGTAGACTGGTGCACCTGCCCAGGATCAGTGCCGGTGCAAGGATTTTTGCCGCCCTAGACAAAATAAAAATTTGCTGCCCCCCCATGTGACATCACAATGCCCCACCCATATGAACTAACGCCAGTGCTGCACACAGTGTGTGTTTACATTAAAAAGCCTGCAGGGACCAGCTATAGACACCAGAACCACTTCATTAAGCTATAGTGTCCCTTTAATGTGAGGTACATTATAGATTAGTGTCACTAATAATATACTAGATTGCCTACTTACAAGCAGATGAGGATGATGATGGGCTGCAGTTTGGCTCCACTGGTCTGGTGTAGAACAGGATCTCTGGAGGCTGTTTGCAGCTGTGGTCACAAAATTCAATGTTCTGGGAGAATTGGGGGCCCCTTACACAGCTCAAGGTCTGGGCCCCAGGGCCTGACGGTGAGTATGCCCATAAGGCCCACTCATAAGTTCCACCCACCCATGAGTTCGCTCACAGGGAGTGGAGTGTGTAGGGGATGTGTTATGTGTTATTGTAGAGGATCTAATATGTGTGCTTATGGTATGTAGTGTATAGGGTTACCAGTTTGTGCAGGTGATGTAGTGTGTTTGTGTGTAGTGGAAGCAGTGTGTATTTGTGTATAAGGGATGTATTATGTGTTTCTGGTTGTGTGTAAGGGATGCATTGTGTGAATCTGTGTTTGTATGCATAAGGGATGCAAGGTGTGTGTCTGTATGTGTGTGCATTGAGTGTAAGAGATGCATTGTGTTTCTGTGTGTATGTAAGAAAAGAAGTGTGTGTGTTTGCATATGTGTGTACGGGTTTGCATTGTCTGTTTCTGTGTATGTGTGCAAAGGATGCATTGTCTTTGTGTGTAAGGGTTGCATTGTGTGTGTGTGTGTAATGGATGCATTGTGTGTTTCTCTGTGTGTAAGGGAAGCATGTTGTGTTTCTGTGTATGTATAGGGATGCATTGTGTGTGTGTGCACGCGCGTAGTGTGAAAGAGCTCCCTGTCTTACTCCCCCATCTTTTTCTTACTCACCCCTTCTTCTTCTTACCCCCCTCTTTCTTCTTATCTCCCTCCTTCTTACTCCCCCCTCCCTCTTCTTATTCCCCTCCCTGCTGTTCCCCTCCTCTTCTTATTCCTCCCTCTTCTTATTCCCCCTCCCCTCTTCTTATTCCCTCCTATTCCCCTTTTTATCCCCCTCCTCTTCTTATTCCCTCCCCTCTTCTTATTCCCCTTTTTGTCCCCCCTCCCTCTTCTTATTCCCTCTCCTCTTTATCCCCCCTCCCCTCTTCTTATCCCAGCCTTCTTATTCCCCCCTCTTCTTATTCCCCTCCCTCCCCTCTTCTTACCCCCTCCCCTGTAGTGTGGCCGAGCTGCACTCCGGTCCGCGGTGACCGGCCGGCCGGAGTGATAGGAAGGTGCACACTCAGTGTGCACTTCCTGTCAGTCCGGTCGGTAACAGGAAACAGAAACTCCGCGCGGAACAGGAGTTTCTGTTTCCTGTAACCGGCCAGACTGACAGGAAGTGCACACTCAGTGTGCACCCTCCTATCACTCCGGCCGGCCGGCCACCGCGGACCGGAGTGCAGCTCGGCCACGCTACAGGGGAGGGGAGAAGCTGCAGCCGCCTGAGGCTCTTAACAGAGCGCTCAGGCGGCTGCAGTATTTAAAGGGCCGGCCCGCCGCGGCCGGCCTTACAGGAATTTAGGGCGGCCTGGGGGGCAATTGCCTCCCTGCCCCCCGGCCCAGCCCGCCCCTGTCAAGAAGTAGATTTAAAGACATGCTCGACTCTCAGTCTGGTTAAGAGAGAAAGAAAATACTTAGATGTGACACGTCTTGCGATTTACGCAGGCCATTTAGATAAGCCAAAATTACGTCAAAATCATCATCAAATTAAGTTAACTCTTTGCAGGACAAGAAATTTTGGTGATGTAATTGTGCCACACACCTTCAGTTCCCTACTGGCCGATCAATGACGTGCAGAAAGTTTGGCCCTTTAAAAAGTAAGGACAAAGGGAGATCCAGGAGAGAAATCCAGGACACACATACACCTTCTCTGGGACTGACACTCAGATCTCAAACGCTCTTTGACTCAAGACGGAGATTCAGGACAGAGATTCAGGACACACTCTGGGACTAACAGTCAACTCTCAAACGCTCTTGGACACAACTCAAGAAACACTTCCTGGACACTTAGAATTTTACTATTACATACAATCCTACACAGAGCCATACTTGCAATCAATTCCTGGAACAAATCTTTGAAATCATTTGATGAGAACATCTACATAACTGGTAATTATGCTGGTTTTATTTAATTAATTTAAATTAATTAAAATTTTACTCATAGCAGGAATATATGCCTGGATAAATCTCGGTTAGATTTCAATAATTAGAAATCTTAGTTAACTAAAGAATATATGGTTATAAACATTCCATTCTGCAGGTGGAATCAAGATAATTATATAATATGTTAGCATACCGCTGTTTTTATCCAGATGTATTGATTTGCTCTGAAATAAGATAGTGTATCTATTTAGGAGAGTTAAAATTCATTTGTTGTGTTTGCAGCATATTTACTGAAATCAAAAGCTATTTCAATCAAACTTATAACAACATTTTAACTTTTTAAACATTGTAACAGGTCACGGTACATTTTAACATAGGACCCATTATTTGATAGCAGCTTCACAAGTCTTGCATCCATTGAACTTGTGAGTTTTTGGACAGTTTCTACTTGAATTTGTTTGCAAGATGTCAGAATAGCCTCCCAGAGCTGCTGTTTGGATGTAAACTGCCTCCCACCCTCATAGATCTTTTGCTTGATGATGTTTCAAAGGTTCTCAATAGGATTGAGGTCAGGGGAGGATGGAGGCCACACCATGACTTTATCTCCTTTTATCCCCATAGCAGCCATTGATGCAGAGGTATTATTTGCAGCATGAGATGGTACATTGTCATGCATGAAGATGATTTTATTACGGAAAGCATAGTCCTTCCCTGGTACAGAAGGAAGAAAGTGGTCAGTCAGAAACTCCATACAAAGAAAACAACAATATATGTGAACACAACCCCAGTGAAAATAATAAAATATAGGAGCAAACCAAAACTTCCCTTATCTTAAGGTGAAGTATCCGGATGAATCCCCGAAGACTTCCTCTTGTCTTCAATAGATATACACAGAAAAATAGGGGACAATCTGCTAAATACAAATAAAAAACATAGCATATAACTGTGTGGAGACTGGTATTGATGTGTGATCACAAATGGTCACTCACAATTTTGAAGAATTAAGATAGCCTTGAATGATGTCTTTATGGAGTTAGAGCAGCTTTAAATGGTGTTATTCAATATCCAGTATATTGTCTCTCCTCACATATTGATCAGCGAATGGATATGTGTGTCTCAAAAAGAGAAAATGTACAAAAATGTAGTGCACTTCCAGAATATGTTAAAAAATATATTTAATGACTTACATTTAGGTATAAAACAAACAGCATGTCACCATACATGTCCTACGCGTTTCGTCCTGAAATTGGACTTCCTCAGGGACTTGGTGTAATAAAGTGCAATCAGAAATAGCAGCAATAATAACAATATCCCCCCCACAGTCCTTTATATACACCCCCATTTAGTATTTAAGATCTTTCAGCTGGTGTTCGATTTTCTTTTCGACGGTATGAGACCGAGTGACGTCATCGCGTGCGCCGCGTGCGTTCCACCTTGCGTTCCACAGACCCGGAAGTGGGTCGCGTGCGTTCCACCTTGCGTTCCACAGACCCGGAAGTGGGTCGCGATCGTCTGTTGCTTTCTCCTATTCTGATGCATTAGCTCAGAAAATATATAGGCAGGTGGATAAAACGGAGAGGGGAGGGACAAGCAATTAAAAGAATATACTCTGGATGGCACTACAAACCGAAATAAAAAAAATGTACATTCTCCATGTAATCTATAGTTATGGATACATGTGTATATACATATATATATATCCCATTTTCATTGGGTACAAGTTTTATAAGACATTTTTTCATATATTTGCCACACACATTTCTTTCTTATGATTTATATGGAAATAGCATCTTATTTCATAGAATGCATGAATAATAATATGATAGTCTAACATTTTTAAATGATTATAAAATATATTACAAACCATATACATACATATATGATATATAGACATTAATATGAATAATATAACCTATTTATATTGCACTCTTTATCCCATTCTTAAAGATAAATAAAGTAAATTTATAACTCAAAACAAAAATAAATAAGTATAATAAAAACTAATAATAATAAAAAATATATGAAATAATAAAAAATAATTGATAAAAAATGATTAATGATAAAAAAATATAAAAAATAAAATAAAAATATAAAAATAAAAATGAAAATGAAAATAAAAATAAAAATAAAAATATACAAAAATTATTATAAAGAATTTTTTATTATTTATTATTTATTGAATGAGAGAAAGGTACAGTGTTTTCCCAAACATCAGGATGTAAATTAGGTAGTTCTCTCAATCTTCAAAGAAACTCCATAAATCGATGTCTAAATTTAAACCAAAAGGTTGGAGTGTTTTTAGTTTGTTGATCCAAAAAGTCTCTTTGAGAGAGCTTTTTGGTTAAATTTCCTCCTCTCCAATATGGGTCCACATGTTCTATGCCCAAAAAAGTAAAACTTTGCCAATCAAATTTGTTGCAAGTATTGCAATGTAATGGCACTATATGTTTAACTGATTTTTTCCTTATATTATTTTGATGTTCTAAAATTCTCTCTTTTAACTTTCTACATGTTCTCCCCACGTACTGTTTCCCACACGGGCATTGTAACATGTATACCACGTTTCTCGTATTGCAATTTATATTAGATTTGATTTTGAATTTCTCCTTTGTAGTGAAACTCATAAAATTCTTTTTTTTGAACAAATTTTTGATTTTTACAAGCCTTGCAAGAATTGCAAGGGTTGAAACCACTGATGTTTGGGGTCACACCCTTATATGGAATTTTTAAAGCGTAACTTGGTGCTAATACATTTTTTAGATTTTTTGTTCTCCTGAAAATGATTTTTATTTTTATATTTATTTTTATTTTTATTTATTTTATATTTTTTTATCATTAATCATTTTTTATCAATTATTTTTTATTATTTCATATATTTTTTATTATTATTAGTTTTTATTATACTTATTTATTTTTGTTTTGAGTTATAAATTTACTTTATTTATCTTTAAGAATGGGATAAAGAGTGCAATATAAATAGGTTATATTATTCATATTAATGTCTATATATCATATATGTATGTATATGGTTTGTAATATATTTTATAATCATTTAAAAATGTTAGACTATCATATTATTATTCATGCATTCTATGAAATAAGATGCTATTTCCATATAAATCATAAGAAAGAAATGTGTGTGGCAAATATATGAAAAAATGTCTTATAAAACTTGTACCCAATGAAAATGGGATATATATATATGTATATACACATGTATCCATAACTATAGATTACATGGAGAATGTACATTTTTTTTATTTCGGTTTGTAGTGCCATCCAGAGTATATTCTTTTAATTGCTTGTCCCTCCCCTCTCCGTTTTATCCACCTGCCTATATATTTTCTGAGCTAATGCATCAGAATAGGAGAAAGCAACAGACGATCGCGACCCACTTCCGGGTCTGTGGAACGCAAGGTGGAACGCACGCGACCCACTTCCGGGTCTGTGGAACGCAAGGTGGAACGCACGCGGCGCACGCGATGACGTCACTCGGTCTCATACCGTCGAAAAGAAAATCGAACACCAGCTGAAAGATCTTAAATACTAAATGGGGGTGTATATAAAGGACTGTGGGGGGGATATTGTTATTATTGCTGCTATTTCTGATTGCACTTTATTACACCAAGTCCCTGAGGAAGTCCAATTTCAGGACGAAACGCGTAGGACGTGTATGGTGACATGCTGTTTGTTTTATACCTAAATGTAAGTCATTAAATATATTTTTTAACATATTCTGGAAGTGCACTACATTTTTGTACATTTTCTCTTTTTGAGACACACATATCCATTCGCTGATCAATATGTGAGGAGAGACAATATACTGGATATTGAATAACACCATTTAAAGCTGCTCTAACTCCATAAAGACATCATTCAAGGCTATCTTAATTCTTCAAAATTGTGAGTGACCATTTGTGATCACACATCAATACCAGTCTCCACACAGTTATATGCTATGTTTTTTATTTGTATTTAGCAGATTGTCCCCTATTTTTCTGTGAGAAACTCCATATACTTTGCAGAGGTCATCTTTACACCTTCAGGGACCCTAAAGGGAACGACCAGCTCTCTTCCCATGATTCTGGCCTAAAACATGACTCCACCACCGCCTTGCTGACGTTGCAGCCTTGTTGGAACAGGGTGGCAGTCCACCAACCATCCTCTACTCCATCCATCTGGACCATCCAGGTTTGCACGGCACTCATCAGTGAACAGGACTGTTTGAAAATTAGTCTTCATGTATTTTTCTGCCCAATTCAGCCGTTTCTGCTTGTGAGCATTGGTTAGTGGTGGCCGAATAGGTTTATGCACAGTTGCAAGACTCTGGAGGACTCTACACCTTGAGGTCCGTGGGACTCCAGAGGCACTAGCAGCTTCAGATATCTGTTTGCTGCTATGTAATGGTATTTTAGCAGCTGCTCTCTTAATCCAATGCATGGATCTGGCAGAAATCTTCCTCAATGTGCCTTTATCTGCACAAACCCGTCTGTGCTCTGAATCAGCCACAAATCTCTTAATAGTGCGATGATCACGCTTACGTTTTCGTGAAATATCTAATGTTTTCATACCTCGTCCAAGGCATCGAACTATTTCACTCTTTTCGGCAGCAGAGAGATCCTTTTTCTTCCCCATATTGCATGAAAATGGTGCTCTGCTTAACCCCTTAAGGACGGAGCCAAATGTACACATTGTGAACAAAACAAAATGTAAACAAAACCTGGCATTTGCGCTACATGTCTGTCCAACCGTAATACACCTCTTTCATAGTAAATGCACCCACCCTTATTATATATCATTTTATTCAGGGGAAACAGGGCTTTCATTTAATATCAAATATTTAGCTATGAAACATAATTTAATATGAAAAAAATGGGAGAAAATACGATTTTTTTGATTTTTTTAGTTCTAAATTGCATTTTAAAGGTCAGTGTCATAATACTGTTTGATTTTACTGCAATAAAATACACATATTTGTATTTAGTAAAGTCTCACGTGTAAGACAGTACCCCCTATGTACAGGTTTTATGGCGTTTTGGGAAGTTACAGGGTCAAATATAGCACGTTACATTTGAAATTGAAATTCGCCAGATTGGTTACGTTGCCTTTGAGACTGTATAGTAGCCCGGGAATGAAATTTACACCCATAATGGCATACCATTTGCAATAGTAGACAACCCAAGGTATTGCAAATGGGGTATGTCCAGTCTTTTTTAGTAGCCATTTGGTCACAAACACTGGCCAAAGTTAGCGTTAGTATTTGTTTGTGTGTGAAAATGCAAAAAATGCCAATTTTGGCCAGTGTTTGTGACTAAGTGGCTACTAAAAAAGACTGGACATACCCCGTTTGCAATACCTTGGGTTGTCTACTATTGCAAATGGTATGCCATCATAGGGGTAATTTTCATTCTTGGGCTACCATAGGGTCTCAAAGGCAACGTAACCAATCTGGCGAATTTTAATGTGAAAAAATGAAACACAAGCCTTATATTTGACGCTGTAACTTTTGAAAACACCATAAAACCTGTACATGAGGGGTACTGTTGTACTCGGGAGACTTCATTGAACACAAATATTTGTGTTTCAAAACAGTAAAAAGTATCACAGCAATAATATTGTCCGTGTAATGCTGTTTGTGCGTGAAAAATGCAAAAAACTTCACTTTTACTGGCGATATCATCGTTGTAATACATTTACTGTTTTGAAACACTAATATTTGTGTTCAGCGAAGTCTCCCGAGTAGAACAGTACCCCCCATGTACAGGTTTTATGGTGTCTTGGAAAGTTATAGGGTTAAATATAGTGCTAGCAAATTAAATTCCCTTTACTTTCGGCATGGGTTGTCAGGCAGGTCCCGCTAATTGTAATTAATTAAGATACCTAATTATGTAAAAATATTACATAAATATATATGTAGAATTAATATATGTATATATATACGTATGTGTATATATATGTATATATCTATAATTTTTTTTAAATATTTTTATTTATATATAGGTATATATATATAGTGATATATACGTATATATTTATGTATATAGATATATATATTATTTCGTTCTACGTGTATTTTGATATATATATATATATTAATTTCACAAAACAGTTAGAACGAAATAACACACATCTATATATTTTTTAATTATTTATTTTTAATTATTTTTTTAATTTTATTTTTTAACATATTTACATTTTTATTTTTTTTATATTATATATAAATATATATATAACAATAATTATATATATATTTAATCAGTATCAGTCTACGTGTAATTTGATATTAATATATATATATAATTATATATATATATATTAATAGTAAAATACACCTAGACGGTGTATGTATATGTGTATATATACTTAGATCATATATATATATATAATATATATATATATGATCTAAGTATATATAATAATTTTTTTTTACACCATTAACTTATTTTACTTTTATTTTCAGCCAGCAGGGGGACCACCTGTCATTACAGGCAGCCCCCCTGCCGGCAATACAGAAGCCAGCTATACCCGGCCATGTGATTGTGGGGTCCTCGCTAGGACCCCACTCTCACATGGCCGGGGGGCTTCAACGAGGACGGATGTGCCGCGGGGGGCTCCCTGGGAGTCCCCCCAACCGCGATCGCCGGCGTGGGACCGCCGGCGACCGGGTAAGTTAACAAAAACCGGAGGGCGTACAATTACGCCCGGCGGCGTTTAGAGCCGCCTATTAGAGGGCGTAATTGTACGTCCTCCGGTTTTAAGGGGTTAATAATGTGGAACACCCTCCTTTAGTAGTTTTTCCTTAAATTGGGCTCACCTGGCAAATTATCACAGGTGTCCGAGATTGTTTTCAGTGATCAAAAGAGCCCTGAGACACAATGCCAATCATGAGTTAAACTGAAAAACAAAATATTTAATCTTTGTGACACTTAAATAGAATTTGCATAATAATTTGGAACAGGGTGTAAACTATCATAAATCTTGTTAAAGTGATGACAACTGGTTGCTTTTAACCACTGTATTGTGTTTAAACTATTGCCATATTGTATGCCTATATTATACCTAAATATTCACTGATTGTCACGCATGTTACATATATTATTATTTTTATTATTATTGTCACAATAAATTATATTTTTATAATTAAATTGTAATTTACTGTGTGAAGTAAAAATCCTCAAATTAACTTTCTCTAGGATCTAAGAGAATTAAAAGCGTGGGTAATTCTCAGCTTTATTATATTATCAATTTCAGGGAACTGCGCCAAGATATACATTTTGATATAATAAAAATTCTTAAATTAATTTTTGATAATTTTTTATGAAAATATTATTTTAATATTTATCACCCCATAAATATCCTCACAGTACGCCACTGTCTGTGAGTGTGTGTCTGTCTGTGAGTGTGTATGTGTGAGCGTGCAAGCTTGTCATCAGTGTGTGCATGCGTTTATATATGCATACGAGTATAATTTTTCTTTTTTTGGGGGGAGGGGGTTTGGACCTTGGCTGTGTGTTTAGCAGACTGTGTGTTTATTTAGTAGTCTGTGTTTGTGTGTATTCAGCAGTCTGTGTTTGTGTGTGTATGTGTGTGTACACAGCAGTCTGTGTATGTGTGTGTACACAGCAGTCTGTGTATGTGTGTGTACACAGCAGTCTGTGTGTATTCAGCAGTCTGATGGGAGAATGGTGAGAGAAATAGAACCAGAATATCCACTTCTGTTATAAATGGCATGTGCACGCATTCTTATACATAGAAACATAGAACTTTTATCAGTACAATTGGGGTTGGACAGAGAGGACATTTTTCTGATATGAATTAAATATTGATGCCTGCCCTCCTTTCATTGTAATAATTATGGGGGGGCTGGGGGTCATGACTTTAACTCCCATGTAGATTCTTGGCTCTCCTCCTCCAAACTGGCACAAGTAAGGAGAGTTTTCTTGCAAAGCTTCTAACAGAGAGTGGAAGGACTATAACTCCCATTAGTCACTGGAATTTATTTCTAAGAGAGTGTGGAAGGACTATAACTCCCATCATTCCCTTTGACAGGTTCTAACAGAGACTAGGACTATAACTCCCATCATTCACTGTTATTTATTTCCAAAAATGAGTAGAAGGACTATAACTCCCATCATTACTGTTATTTATTTCTAACAATGAGTAGAAGGACTATAACTCCCATCATTCACTGTTATTTATTTCTAACAATGAGTAGAAGGACTATAACTCCCATCATTCAGTTTCAAAGTGTCCAATAATGAGTAGAAGGACTATAACTCCCATCATTCACTGTTATTTATTTCTAACAATGAGTAGAAGGACTATAACTCCCATCATTACTGTTAATTATTTCTAACAATGAGTAGAAGGACTATAACTCCCATCATTCATTGTTATTTATTTCTAACAATGAGTAGAAGGACTATAACTCCCATCATTCACGGTTATTTATTTCTAACAATGAGTAGAAGGACTATAACTCCCATCATTCATTGTTATTTATTTCTAACAATGGGTAGAAGGACTATAACTCCCATCATTCACTGTTATTTATTTCTAACAATGAGTAGAAGGACTATAACTCCCATTAGTCACTGGAATTTATTTCTAAGAGAGTGTGGAAGGACTATAACTCCCATCATTCCCTTTGACAGGTTCTAACAGAGACTAGGACTATAACTCCCATCATTCACTGTTATTTATTTCCAACAATGAGTAGAAGGACTATAACTCCCATCATTACTGTTATTTATTTCTAACAATGAGTAGAAAGACTATAACTCCCATCATTCATTGTTATTTATTTCTAACAATGAGTAGAAGGACTATAACTCCCATCATTCACTGTTATTTATTTCTAACAATGAGTAGAAGGACTATAACTCCCATCATTCAGTTTCAAAGTGTCCAATAATGAGTAGAAGGACTATAACTCCCATCCTGACCCGCCCATGCTTTACTACCCAGGACCAGCTGGATCCTCAGCTCTCCAAACAAACCCTCAGAGACAGCCAGCAAGTGGAACGCAAAACCCGGAACTCAGCTGGAACGCAAATCCAGGAACTCAGCTGGAACGCAAAACCCGGAAGTGATGATTTCGCAGACCTGGAGGAGGAAGGAGTAGCTGCTTCCGGTGTTTGTTCCATGTGGACAGAAACTGTTATTGGACAAAACAGCTTTAATTAATAGAATCTGAATGGTAAGAGCGAGTAATGACTGGATTTACTGTATACAGCATTCATGTACTATGTAGAGTATACAGCATTCATGTAATGTATAGCATTTATGTAGTATACAGTATTCATGTAATGTATAGAGTATACAGCATTCATGTACTATGTAGAGTATACAGTATTCATGTAATGTATAGCATTCATGTACTACATAAAGAGTATACAGCATTCATGTAATGTATAGCATTTATGTAGTATACAGCAGTCATGTAATATATAGAGCATACAGTAGAGAGCTTAGGATTAATAGTGAGTATGTAGTTCACCCTGTGAGATATAGAATATATTTACTTTAAATTCACTTCTGAGCTTGAACAAATTGTAGTATAGTGTATACCTTTAAGAAAAAATACAAATAACAATAAAATGGTGTAGTACCTGTAGCGGAACGCCAATATTAAATCCACGAATTCCGCTGGTTCAGGAAGTAATCCACAGTCAAGCGCTGAAACAACAAGGCAATATCCCCAACCTCCCAGTAACCGGACGAAACACAGTTCTGAGAGTCAACTGAAGTCCTTTAATTCTGCTTCACAATTTATACAAGTCCCCATGCAAGGGGTTTCCTGAGTCCCCTCCCAGGGGCATTCCCAGAGGGGACTACATGGGGAACTTACAGTACAACACATTTCTCCCATCAGGCACTGCTGCACGAGAGGGATCCTCCTCCTGGAATATACCGTTAAGTGGATTAGCCCTCCGTGCAGCAGAACCGACAATTTATATAAAAATCTGTAACTTTGCGAATATACGGTTTATTTGCACGAATGGACGTTCGGTAGATAGCTGGGGTCTGAGCGCATCATTCGTGAGATTACCGCTCAGATCCCAGCTAAAATAACCGAACGCCGCACGAAAAACACATTTATTGAGAAACATATTAAAAAGACCGATTGCCTTCCAGGGAATGAAATACCGAACGGCCTGGAACTCCCGAACGTCCTGGAGGCTCAGCGGTGTTCGTGCCGTCGAGTAGCCGTTTTTAGTACCATGCGCTCGACGACCTAACACCGCTGAGGGAACAAATGATCCAAGATGGCCGACCGCCGCATGGTCGGTAGTCGAACGACGGCCACCCAGGAGAGCCTATAATTACCGATTGCAACATTGTTGCAATCGGTTAACAAGCGCCACACGCCTCTAAGTGTGTGGGCTATTAGGGGTCATGTTTTCGGTTCACGAACGGCCCTCCAAAGTGCCGTTCGTGAAACGAAAGGCAAACCCCATACAAATAGCTATCCGCATTCGGCGGATAGCAAATACAGGCAATTCAAGATATTACAGTCAGCATACAGTGTACGTAGTTAAACACATATCTCCACCGACATGCAGGCAACCCTTAAACGTACAGTCTCTGGTTATAGTCCAAGTGGCTAGGTTTGCCACAATGCTCCCCCAGAACCAAGCCGGCATACACAGTCTGATGCCCACGGATCGGCTTGGGGATGTCCGGAGGAGGGCTCACAGATCACTTCTCAAGGTCTGTTTATCTGGATAACCCGTCAGCGTTACCGTTTTGTTTCCCGGGGCGATAATGGATAGTAAAGTCAAAAGGCTGTAGCGCTAAACTTCAGCGCAGCAGCCTGGCATTGTCTCCAGCCACACGGTTCAGCCACACCAACGGGTTGTGATCTGTGAGCAAAGAAAAGGGTTGCCCATAGAGATATGGTTGTAACTTTTTCAGGGCCCACACCACGGCCAGGCATTCGTTTTCTATGGCGGCGTAGCTCACTTCTCGGGGCAACAATTTCCGGTTTAAATATGCTACGGGATGTTCTCCGCCATCTGCTCCGACCTGGCTCAGTACTGCTCCCAATCCAAACATTGAGGCGTCTGTGTGGACAAGAAAACGTTTAGTTGGATCAGGAGCAGCCAGTACAGGGGCATTGGTCAGAGCCGTCTTTAGTTGGTTGAATGCCTGTTCACACTCTGGGGCCCAGATGACCTGCCTGGGCAGGTTTTTCTTCGTCAAGTCAGTCAGGGGTTTGGCCAGGGCACTGTAATTGGGCACAAATTTTCTATAATACCCGGCATCTCTGCTCTACCACCTGGTATGGGCCCTGCCAGACGGCCTGTAGTTTGTCTGTGCGGACAGGTTTGAGGATTAGCACCTTCTGCCCCACTTGAAAACTACGGTCTCTGGCACCTCTGTCATACCAACGACGCTGTCGTTGCTGGGCGGCTTGGAGGTTGGTGCGCACTGCCTGAGTTAATTCCTCCAGGCGATCCCGGAACGCCAGCACGTATGGTACAATAGGGGTCCCATCTGCGCTACTCTCTCCCTCCCAATGCTCTCTAATGAGATCCAACGGTCCCCGGACCCTTCTCCCAAATAACAGTTCAAATGGGGAGAAACCGGTAGACTCTTGGGGTACCTCTCTGTAGGCAAACAACAGATGGGGAAGGAATCGTTCCCAGTCCTTATGAGTCTCTCCGAATGTACGGAGCATCTGTTTTAGGGTACCGTTTAACCTCTCACACAATCCGTTGGATTGAGGGTGGTAGGCCGAGTTAATGATTGGCTTAATGCCACATATTTTCCATAACTGCTGAGTAACCTCGGCCGTAAATTGTGTCCCCCTATCGGAGACAATTTCCTGCGGGAACCCTACTCTGGAAAAGATTTTCATCAGGGCTTCGGCCACGGTCTCAGCGTGAATATTGGTTAGGGCAATCGCCTCGGGGTACCGGGTGGCGTAGTCCACCACGGTCAGTATATACCGCTTCCCAGAGGGGCTGGGTTTTGGTAGTGGCCCCACTATATCTACAGCCACACGGCTGAACGGTTCCTCAATTATAGGTAGTGGACACAGTTTCGCCTTGTGGCGATCCCCCCTCTTGCCTACCCGCTGACACACATCACAGGAGGTGCAATAATGTCTTACATCTTTAGAAATCCCGGGCCAAAAGAAAGCGTGAGTTAAGCGATACCGGGTCCGGGTCATCCCTAAATGGCCGGACAGAGGGATGTCATGGGCTGTTCTTAGTAACTCATGTCTATACTTCTGGGGTACTACCAGCTGCTTAGTTTGGAGGGTCACAGAGCTTCCTATTGCCCTTTCAGCCACCCGGTACAACAACTTGTTTTCCCAAATGTACCGTTCCCCCTCCCGTCCCACCTGGTCCGTGTCTACCCTATCTCGTTATACCTGCAGTGTGGGGTCTGTCTGGACCTCTGCTTCAAAAGTGGTCGGGGTGTCCCAGGTCATATGCGTCAAGGGGGGGTCATGGTTTCTTACCTGAGCCTCAGAGTGTGTTGGTGGTACCGTGGTGCGAGCCTGTTGCCGGGTAGTTACCGGATGAGCTTCTTGCGAAGGAGCCTGGGGTAGGAAAGCTGAAGTCATCTGGCCCAAGTCATTCCCCAACACAACATCTGCCGGTAACTTCTTCATTATTGCCACTTCTACAACCCCCTCCCCAGCACCCCAGTTCAAATGCACCTTGGCAGTGGGTAGCCGGTACATGGCTCCCCCTGCTACCCTGACCGCCACTGATCCGCCAGTGTGGGCCGTATCTGGAACCAAATGTGGAGCAACCAGGGTCAAAGTGGCTCCCGAGTCCCTCAGCCCTTGTACTTCCTTCCCCCCACAAACACAACTTGACGGTGATGCTGCCTGTTGTCTGTGGCTTGCACCGACATCACTTCGTATAAAACTCCCAATGGTTCCTCAGTTTGCAGACTTGCCAGCTCAGCGTGGTCAGGTTCCGTGTGGTAGTAATGAGCTGCTGCCCTTGGGGTGGAGTTTTGCCGTACCTGGTTCCACGCCTGTCTACTCCGATTCTGGGTGCACTCCCGGGACATATGCCCCCACTGCCGGCAGGTATGGCATTGTATGTTGGCTCGGCCATTGTAGCGGAATGGTGGTGGGGGGTTCCCTGGTGCTGGCCGGAATGGGGCAGAGTTGGTAGGTGTGGAGATGGTCGGGTGGTGTTGTACTGGTGGTTTCAGGGGACCCCTGTTGGTGAGCCCATGATGCCTCCTGGCATTAAAGTGTTGATCCGCCAACCGGGCGGCTTCTGTTAGGGTGAGGGGTTTTCTGTCTCTTACCCACTCTTGTGCCTCTGGTGACAGGCCGTTAAAGAACTGCTCCAGCAGGATGAGTTGGCGCAGTCCCTCCATGGTGGTGGCGTGGCTTGCCTGAATCCACCCTTGTGACGCTTGGTCAAGCTTATGTGCCCACTCAGCGTGGGAATCTTTTTCTGGCTTCCTCAATCCCCGAAATTTACGCCGGTATGCCTCCGTGGTTATGGCATACCTCTCTAGAATTGCCCTTTTGACTTTAAAATAGTCCTTGCTGTCCTCTCTGGGCACAGCGCGATAAGCCTCTGCTGCTCGTCCTGCCAACTTGCCTGCTAGTAAGGGTACCCACATTGCCTGCTCCAGATCGTGTAGGTCGCATAACCTCTCAAAATCCTGCAGGTATCCGTCGATCTCATCCTTCTCCTCACAGAACGCTTTAAATGCCTGGTAGGGTATTTTCTGCTTCACTGGAGCGCAGAATGAGTTGGCGATGGATTCTGCCCTGGAGGGTGGCCCCAGGGGCTGCTGTGCCATAATGTAGTCCTGTACGTCTGCCATCAGTACGGTCAAGATGTCCAGGGGTACTGGCTGAGGTACAAATTCCTGCCGGGTTCTCAGTTCCCTCTGATATGGGGTTTCCTCCCTGGCAGGTGGGGGTGGGCTGCTGTGTGCTTGGTCGCCCTCCATCAGCTCTGCAATTAGTACTGCTTTGGATTTGTTGCTAGCACTTTTCCCTCTAGCCTCCAGCAGTTCCTTTAGCGTCTGCCTCTTTAATGCCGTGTAATCCGTCCCCATTCACTGATCGCTTTCGTCTGTTTGTTGCATACGAATTGCCTTTCCCTTTTTCCGTTCGGTTGTTTCTTTCATTCGAATGCGCTGTATTCGGCTGTAGAGTTGGATCCCGTCACTTGCCACCAATTGTATCGGAACGCCAATATTAAATCCACGAATTCGGCTGGTTCAGGAAGTAATCCACAGTCAAGCGCTGAAACAACAAGGCAATATTCCCAACCTCCTAGTAACCGGACGAAACACAGTTCTGAGAGTCAACTGAAGTCCTTTAATTCTGCTTCACAATTTATACAAGTCCCCATGCAAGGGGTTTCCTGAGTCCCCTCCCAGGGGCATTCCCAGAGGGGACTACATGGGGAACTTACAGTACAACACATTTCTCCCATCAGGCACTGCTGCACGAGAGGGATCCTCCTCCTGGAATATACCGTTAAGTGGATTAGCCCTCCGTGCAGCAGAACCGACAATTTATATAAAAATCTGTAACTTTGCGAATATACGGTTTATTTGCACGAATGGACGTTCGGTAGATAGCTGGGGTCTGAGCGCATCATTCGTGAGATTACCGCTCAGATCCCAGCTAAAATAACCGAACGCCGCACGAAAAACACATTTATTGAGAAACATATTAAAAAGACCGATTGCCTTCCAGGGAATGAAATACCGAACGGCCTGGAACTCCCGAACGTCCTGGAGGCTCAGCGGTGTTCGTGCCGTCGAGTAGCCGTTTTTAGTACCATGCGCTCGACGACCTAACACCGCTGAGGGAACAAATGATCCAAGATGGCCGACCGCCGCATGGTCGGTAGTCGAACGACGGCCACCCAGGAGAGCCTATAATTACCGATTGCAACATTGTTGCAATCGGTTAACAAGCGCCACACGCCTCTAAGTGTGTGGGCTATTAGGGGTCATGTTTTCGGTTCACGAACGGACCTCCAAAGTGCCGTTCGTGAAACGAAAGGCAAACCCCATACAAATAGCTATCCGCATTCGGCGGATAGCAAATACAGGCAATTCAAGATACTACAGTCAGCATACAGTGTACGTAGTTAAACACATATCTCCACCGACATGCAGGCAACCCTTAAACGTACAGTCTCTGGTTATAGTCCAAGTGGCTAGGTTTGCCACAGTACCCTTTAGTATGTCTATACAGTAAAACAGAGTAATGGGGCACTCACATTTTCGCGTTTCGACGAATGGCTTACTCAATCCGGTGTGGTAAACCATCAAGTTCCGAGTCCGTCTATATATAGGTCTGTAATTTACCGGGGTTCCCTCCAGGTGTACTCTTTCTGTGTTCCAAGCCTCGTTCTGAAGTGAATGCCATGTCATGCCTCTCTCTTGATATCAGAAACGTAATTTCCGCTCTTTTTGCCGTCTCATCATATCCGATTCTGTCATCTATAAGTATGAACTCTGCTCTCTTCATATGTTCCACTGATTGTTTGCATTCCACTGAATTCCTATTTAGATGTTGGGAACTCACGGTATATCTCCATGGCAATTTCATCCATAGATATTGTGACGGAGCTCCTGTACTCCAACCAAGTATCTCCGCCCAACCCACTTCCTAGCTGCTGCCTCCAGAGCTCTTCTTTCCTCCCGACCAAGCTGCAGATATCGTCCCCTCTGCCTATTCCTCTGCAGCTCTCCTTCCAGGCAGGTATTGTCCTCTCTGCCTATTCCTTTGCAGCTTTCCTTCCAGGCAGGTATCATCCTCTCTGCCTATTCCTCTGCAGCTCTCCTTCCAATCAGATATCGTCCCCTCTGCCTATTCCTCTGCAGCTCTCCTTCCAGGCAGGTATCGTCCCCTCTGCCTATTCCTTTGCAGCTTTCCTTCCAGGCAGGTATCATCCTCTCTGCCTATTCCTCTGCAGCTCTCCTTCCAATCAGATATCGTCCCCTCTGCCTATTCCTCTGCAGCCCTCCTTCCAGCCAGGTATCGTCCCCTCTGCCTATTCCTCTGCAGCTCTCCTTCCAGGCAGGTATCGTCCCCTCTGCCTATTCCTTTGCAGTTTTCCTTCCAGGCAGGTATCATCCTCTCTGCCTATTCCTCTGCAGCTCTCCTTCCAATCAGATATCGTCCCCTCTGCCTATTCCTCTGCAGCTCTCCTTCCAGGCAGGTATCACCCCTCTGCCTATTCCTCTGCAGCTCTCCTTCCAGGCAGGTATCACCCCTTTGCCTATTCCTCTGCAGCTCTCCTTCCAGGCAGGTATCGTCCCCTCTGCCTATTCTGCTGCAGCCCTCCTTCCAGCCAGGTATCGTCCCCTCTGCCTATTCCGCTGCAGCCCTCCTTCCAGGCAGGTATCGTCCCCTCTGCCTATTCCTCTGCAGCTCTCCTTCCAGGCAGGTATCGTCCCCTCTGCCTATTCCGCTGCAGCCCTTCTTCCAGGCAGGTATCGTCCCCTCTGCCTATTCCTCTGTAGCTTTCCTTCCAGGCAGGTATCGTCCCCTCTGCCTATTCCTCTGCAGCTCTCCTTCCAGGCAGGTATCGTCCCCTCTGCCTATTCCTCTGCAGCTCTCCTTCCAGGCAGGTATCGTCCCCTCTGCCTATTCCTCTGCAGCTCTCCTTCCAGGCAGGTATCGTCCCCTCTGCCTATTCTGCTGCAGCCCTCCTTCCAGCCAGGTATCGTCCCCTCTGCCTATTCCTCTGCAGCCCTCCTTCCAGCCAGGTATCATCCCCTCTGCCTATTCCTCTGCAGCTCTCTTTCCAGGCAGGTATCGTCCCCTCTGCCTGTTCCTCTGCAGCCCTCCTTCCAGCCAGGTATCATCCCCTCTGCCTATTCCTCTGCAGCCCTCCTTCCAGGCAGGTATCATCCCTCTGCCTATTCCGCTGCAGCTCTCCTTCCAGGCAGGTATCACCCCTCTGCCTATTCCTCTGCAGCTTTCCTTCCAGGCAGGTATCGTCCCCTCTGCAGGCTATTCCTCTGCAGCTCTCCTTCCAGGCAGGTATCGTCCCCTCTGCCTATTCCTCTGCAGCTCTCCTTCCAGGCAGGTATCACCCCTTTGCCTATTCCTCTGCAGCTCTCCTTCCAGGCAGGTATCGTCCCCTCTGCCTAGTCCGCTGCAGCCCTCCTTCCAGCCAGGTATCGTCCCCTCTGCCTATTCCTCTGCAGCCCTCCTTCCAGGCAGGTATCGTCCCCTCTGCCTATTCCTCTGCAGCCCTCCTTCCAGACAGGTATCGTCCCCTCTGCCTATTCCTCTGCAGCTCTTCTTCCAGGCAGGTATCGTCCCCTCTGCCTATTCCTCTGCCGCTTTCCTTCCAGGCAGGTATCGTCCCCTCTGTCTATTCCTCTGCAGCTCTCCTTCCAGCCAGGTATCGTCCCCTCTGCCTATTCCTCTGCAGCCCTCCTTCCAGCCAGGTATCGTCCCCTCTGCCTATTCCTCTGCAGCTCTCCTTCCAGGCAGATATCGTCCCCTTTGCCTATTCCTCTGCAGCTTTTCTTCCAGGCATCGTCCCCTCTGCATCTATGGCCCTGGGATATATGGCATTTGAAAACAATATTTGTTCCCTGTGACAAAACTGGAGATTGTGCACAAATATGACTATTGTCCATATTTTTTATGATTCCCTTTGTTTGTTGCACTGTTCCCTGTGTGTTTCATCTGTTGGTTCGGCTGGAAAGACTACCAGACAAACTGTGGAGTTACTGGGTGGCCACCATTTCATGTATCAGAGACACATGGTGAGAACAATGGATGAAGCACATGGTGAGAACAATGGATGGCGGCCATTTTAACTCACAGACACTGTTTGAACTTTTGTACACGGTACCATCTCGCCGGTATTTGGTGCACAAAGACATCGTTCAGTAGTTTTAAACTACAGAACAGGGGACACATTATACAGTAATTATTTTTCATGTAGCCTGTATATGTTCTGCGGAATCTGCATTAAACCGTATCTTCCAAACTACTGAACGGATCTGGGGGAATTTTGGATATGTGGTTCACCCAGATCCCCCGGTTCCGAGGATATATTTATGGGGTTATTGCATGTTTTTGGGTCCCTGTGATATGTTTTATAATACTGTATTTTCCTGCCTGTAATAATTAAGTTAGTCTATTGTGTTGAGATAATTGTATCACAGGCAGAGGGGAGGATTTCTGATGTAATGAATGGGAGTGTTAGCTGTATTGTAATGTGTTGATTGGTTGTTCTGCAAAACCCTGTGGTCAGTTCTAATTCACCCTCAATTTGGAGTGCCGTCTCTTATTGGGGGAATCTGCTACAAGGGATTGCTATGCTCTGCATACTCTCTTGCTATATTCACTGCTATCTCTTGTAAGAACTTGTTCCTGTCTTGCTCTCTGAAGGAGTCTACGGTGGTTATGGTGTCGGCTGGAGTGCATGGAGCCCTCAGGAAGCGCTAGGAGCATCCTTCAATGGAAGTACCCAGTCGGGGTGCCAGGTGATCTGTTACAACCAGTCCTAGCTCTCTTGCTTTATCCTAGGGCGAGAGGGATCCTGCAACCAGCAAACAGGTCCGAAGACTGTCACTGGAATCCCTACAAAATCCACACATAAACATTGCTGTGACAACTCAGTAAAAATACAGTCAAATCATAGCAGACAACATACAGCAACTTATAACACAATGACATATTTATAAAGGGGTGGGGAAGACAGTAATTAACAGAAAATCTCTCTCCTGCCTGCAGAATTAGCAATATGCAAATCTACCAAAATATGCAAATTAACCAGCCTTGCCACTCAGGTAGTGCATAGAAACCTAGAATGTGACGGCAGATAAGAACCATTCGGCCCATCTAGTCTGCCCAATTTTCGAAATACTTTTAATTAGTGCCTGGCCTTATCTTATAGTTAGGATAGCCTTATGGCTATCCCACGCATCCTTAAAGGGACTCTCCAGTGCCAGGAAAACAAACTCGTTTTCCTGGCACTGTAGGTCCCCTCTCCCTCCTACCTCCCATCCCAAGTTGCTGAAGGGGTTAAAACTCCTTCAGTGATTTAACTGTATCCTGTGAGGATATTTATGGGCTGATAAATATTAAAAATAATATTTTCATAAAAATGATCAAAAAAATATTTAATCATTTTTATTATATCAAAAATTGATATCTTGGCACTGTTTCACCGATTAATGATTTAAAGCTGAGAATTACCCACTATTTTAATTCTTAGATCCTAGAGGAAGTTTCACTAGAAGATTTAACTACACACAGTACTCACAAATTAATTGTAAAAATATAATTTATTGTGACAATAATAATAAAAATAATAATAATATGTAACATGCGTGACAATCAGTGAATATTTAGGTATAACTTTAGTATACAATATGGCAGTGGTTTAACACAATATAGACAGTTATATATGCAACAGTTGTCAAGAATATTTATGACAAGACACTCCTTTGAAATCAACATAACACGGAATACAGCATCTAATAGCTTTTCACAGCAGCAGTGCAGCATAAAGCAGTAAAAACTTTGGCTGACAGTCAAATCACACTGAATTAACTCTTTCACTCGTAGGCAAGATATCGTATTATATTGCAATTTTTACAGCTACAATATTCTCATATCGGATCATTCACCACTCCTAGGACCATCCAATAAGAATAATTCTAACTAGATTTTACATTTGCAGAATATCAGAAAAAGTCAATACCTCTGGATAAAAATTGTGTGTGCTAACATTTGGCAAATTTAGCGTTAATAAATCGTTATCTTTATTCCACCTGCAGGAGTGGAATTTGTAAAACCATATATTCCTTAGCTAATTATGATTTCTAATAATTGAAATCTGACCAAGATTTATCCAGATATATATTCCTGCTATTAGTAAAAAGTATGATGAGAGAATTGTATGAGTTCTGAAGTTATGTTAGTTGGAAAAGTATAAAGAGTTAGGTGTGTCTCAGAGCGTCTTAGACTGTCCAATAGTCAGAATGCGGAGAGTCAAAAATGGGTCGCAAGAAAATACTGAGAATGGGCAGCAGCTGAAATAGCCTGCCCTTCGGTCGTTACCCGCTCAGTTCTCAAGCTGATTTTTGCTCATCTTGTGCCATTACAGAGAGAACATATCTGAAGCATATCAGACTGGTCCCACCCATACAGGCAGTTCAGATCCAAAATGCCAGCAAGTTCTCTCTGCACGAGAGATACAGCAACCCCAGACAATCGTTTCAGCCTTGTTAGGCATCATCAGTGAGGCATAGCTGATATCTCCCTAGGCACCGTGAGCAAGGGGTCCACGTCTGGATTATCCCTTTAAACTTGTGGAGAGTCAAAAATGGGTCGCAAGAGAATACTGAGAAATAGTCAGTATGTGTAAGTACCAGAGAGTGTTTCAGAGCGTCTCCTCTCTTCCCTTTGTCCTTAATTTTTAAAGGACTAGTTACGCTATACGTCACTAGTTGATAGGACCAATAGAGAACTGTGGACATGTCTTCCCTACTGACTATCATCTAGAATTTGGTCAGTAGATGGCACAATTACATCACCAAAAATTCTTGTCAGGGGGTCCGTTTACCTTTTTGTATAATGACTTCACTGAATTTTGTGATGTTTGATGTAATTTGGTTATCTTTTTATAGCTACTGTTCGTCAAAGAAGCTGTCATCTTCAAAGCGTTTGGTTCACTCTTATCGAGACTTGGTGTATACCTTTAAATTTATTTTCCTGACATGTCTAAACTCTTCTTCATCTTTTCTTACAATGGAACTTTGTAATATTCTGTTAGGTTGTTTTTTTTTGTTTTTTTTTTTAGAAAGTAAAATTAATTACTTAGTGTTATCTGTTATTTGGTGTCTGTGTGGTTTTCTTGTTTGAAACTGTAGTTAAGATTACACATATTCCACTAACATTAGTAAATAATATGATATTATATCCATGAATGTTTTATATTATTAACTTAGTACTATTTATATATGATTAATATAATATAGTAACACTACTGAAGTAAGGCTGACTGGCCTATAGTTGCCCGACTCCTCCCTATTACTTTTCTTGTGAATGGGCACAACATTCACTAACTTCCAATCGTCTGGGACTACTCCTCTTAACAATGATTGGTTAAATAAACCTGTCAATGGTTTTGCAACTAAGCTCTTTTTTATTTATCTTTTTATTTAACATTTTATTTAGCAAATGATGCACACTGGCAAATTGTACTTTGCAGAAATAACAATTCCAAGCATTTTTGTCAGGTACAATTCCTGCTAGTGATGACATCTGTATGTTATCATGGACACTTTGCACACATTCATACTGTCAAATTGAGTAGATAACATATTGCTTTTTACCGACATTGCATATTTCAGACATTCAATACGCGGAGCATTGTGTACAAAATTTTAGTTTAGTAGTGAGGTGGGTGGATTAACAACAGGTGGTTGGGCCGGTGTGGGGGGGGGGAGGGAAGATTCCCCTGTGTATAACAGATTTACCATCCAAACTTCTTGTTTCAACTCAATGCCGTTTGCATCTGTGCAAATGGGTACACGCTCTCTTGTGTATGTTCAGGGAGTCAGCCTTTGTTGGTGTATTCCATCAGGTCCCATTGATTTATTTGGCCTTACGTTTGACAGTTGAACTAGAACCTCTTCCTCTGTAAACTCATATGTAACAAATGCCTCACTTGTCCTTTTTCCTTACTGAGGCCCCTTTCCTTCATTTTCATCTGTAAATACTGAACAAAAATATTCATTGAGGCAGTCAGCTAGACCTTTATCCTCTTTGTAACGAATACCCTATTCATGGATAACAATATTATTACTGGTTTGCACTTTTGCTACGATATGCTGCACCTATATTCCATACAAATGTTTAAACGAACAAACTGTGCCTAATTTGTTCGTTTACCGAACAGTTTGCTGAATGTTAGACGACCCAAGCCAGTTGTGTGCCGCCAATTGACTCATTTGACTCTATGCAAAACCGCAACCTCAATGTTCTAAGTGGTTCACTGGGTGGCAATTGATTCGTATGCATTAACCCGTTGAGGCGGCCATCTTGTTTTGTCGAACGCGTCCAGCAGGGTTTGGTCGTTGAGTGTCTGGAACTAATTTCGCACTCTCGATCTCCCGAACACCGCTGAGACTTCCAGGGACACTTAAATTCATTATAATCCATCCGAAGAAGGCGGCAATTGACAGAAATTGTATATGAATGAAGCGGCACATGACCATCAAATGAACGATTTATGTGAACTATCATTCGACATTTTGGTACTGCGCGAAAGAGCCTGGCCGCACTAGCTGAACGCATGGAAGTATTTTGGGCAGGTGCCTTGTGTGCGGCCGTGCAGAAATGGAACTTCCAGCTATCTCCCGAACCCCTGAACCGATTCGTATAATTTTTTGATATATTGTTCCCCTGACTATGGACTATCAGAATATGTGTGTTTTGTGGGGGTTGGATATGGTTCTGGGGTGTTTCTGAAAACGTGGAATTTTTTTTATTTTTTCGTTTGGAGATAATTGAGTTGATACAGTAATTAACTCAATTATCTCCTAAGCAGAGGGGAGGAATTTTATGTAATAATTGGGAGTGTTTGGTTATGTGACTCTATTTTTATTGGCTGTTAACTGTATTTCCCTGTGCCCCACAAGGTCTACCTGGGTGGTAATCTTGTGGGAAAAGTTGCATAAAAGGCCAGCCTGGCCCATTAAAGCTTCAGATCTGCTTAACCTTCAATACATAGCCGTGTCTCGTGTTTGTAGGGAACCTGCTTCAGAGCTAATCACTAGCTCTTGTAAGAGCTCTATTACCCCTTCACTACTGGTTCGGCTGAGGTGGCATCTGGAGAATATTGCAGCACAGCTTCTCTCAAGGGAATAGGATGTCTCCAACAGCATACACCCCTATGATACTCTGGCTAGCCGTTACACTCTTCTACATGCCTTCTTTCTTTTGTTTTTAATCTAACTAATCCTTGTTTTACTTTCCTTTCTCATTTATGTATCTAAAAAAAATGGCTTTTTTTACTGACTGTACTATTTTTCTCTTCTGTGTGTAAATTTGGAAGCTCTGATAACTTGCTTAGCCTCTTTCTGCCTAATCTTATAGATCTGTCTATCTTCCTTCCTCTGGTTTTTTTTTATAATTACTAAATGCTAACTTTTTGTTTTTTACTATTTTGGCCACATCTGTGGAGTACCATAGTGGTTTCTCAATTTTTTTGCTTTTACTGACAAACCTAACACAGTTTTCTGTTGCCTTCAGTAGTGCAATGTTTAAATAATCCCACTTCTCAGGGACTTTATTTAATCTGCTCCAGTCTGATAATGACTCCTTTACACACATTCTAATTCAAGAAAAATCTGTTTTTATAGTTTAAAACTTTTGTTTTTGTGTGGTGTGACTCATTCACTGTTCTTATATTAAACCACACTGACTGATGATCACTGGATCCTAAATGTTCACCTACAGTAATATCTAATACCAAATCTTCATTTGTTAACACTGAATCTAGTATGGCCTCTTTACGAGTTGACTCCTCAATGACTTGTTTTAGAGACAATCCCAGTAGGGAGTTTAGAATATGTGTGCTCCTGGCACAAGCAGCTATTTTGGTTTTCCAGTTCACATCAGGAAGATTAAAGTCACCCATGATGATAACTTCCCCCTTCATTGTCATTTTAGCTATTTCCTCAACTAGTAGATTATTGTTTGTGGTTTAAATTCAGTAGACAGCAATGTTTTCTCTCAGGTATGAAGACAAGGAATGGACACAGCAGAAATATGAGCGTGGAGGGCAGTACTTGTCCACACAAATGTATGGCTGAATATTGCTCCTGATTTAATGGGAGAAGACACAGATCTTAGATCCAATTCTTTACATATCCAAAAAGGGGTTGTCTTCACACAATACATTAGGTTTTACATATGGTCATGTCCAGTGAAATGCATCTTCAAAGAACTTATAACACACCTGGCATTAGCTTTTGAAAAGATGTTACTTGATTAAACAAACACTTTCCAACAGTCATAAAGATAAGGTGTTAACAAGATATAGGGGGCTGGGGGGAACAAGAAGAAGGTAAAATCAGGACAAAGACAGCGTAGGTTGAAACGTTGTGATGGAGTGGGCTCAATAAAATTGCCTGGTTTGTACCTCGGAGTGCCTGGACTTTTCTTCTATTTTTGTTATTCAGCATTTGGTCTCTGGTACTGAGACTGTCCGAGTTGCACCCAGCTACATACTACTTAAAGGGACAGAGTGCAGTTCCACACCCTACCATAACTACTTCATAATAGAGCATCCTGACATTACTCAATCCTTGTGTGATACATGATATAAGGGGAAAGGTGGTCATTAACCCTTATCATTCCAATCTTTTATTCTGAAAGAATAATGTAACGGAGCTACCTGTACTCCGACCGAGTACCCTCCGTTGATGGATGCTCCTAGCGCTTCCTGAGGACTCCAAACACTGCAGCAGACACCACAACCACCGCAGACTACACAACCGCCGTAGCTTAACTGGAGTCTCGCCGTCTTCCTTCCACCCTGGATCAGCTTCTGTCCTCCAAGACCGTGTGGGGAAGACCTCTCCTCCAGGAGAGCGTAACAGGAACAGCTCTTAAAAGAGCTAAGTGATTAAAAGCTCAGGGGAATATGCAGAGCATAGCAATCCCCAGTGTGATATAGCAGTTCCCTCCAATAACGAGACAAGGCTACGTATTGAGGGTCAAGAAGATCTGTTTACTTGGCACCAAAGGGCCTTCTTTTATGCAGGTTTAACACATACAGGACCGCCCACAGGGGTTTACAGAACAACCAATCATAAACGTACATTACAGAAAACACTCCCAGCAATTACACACAAAAATCCTACCCTCTGCCTGTGATCTAATTATGGCACACAATGCTTAACATAATTATCACAAGCAGGAAAAATACAGTTTTTATACATGTACTATAACTTTAAAACTACACATCCAATCTTCATAAATTACATATTTGGAATCAGCACACTTTAAACATAAACATAACCAAAAATTAGCCAAATCCATCCAGGGGTTAAAAAGTTAGCTGGAGGTCCCTTTATGACCGACCGCAAGCACATTTTCCTGCCCAAAACAGTTCCATAGATTTGGGCTGTGCGGTCGGTCTATTTCAGGCTGAAAAAACGACTAAGTCCCATCGCCGGTTGGGACTTAGTCTCTGCAGCTGTAAAATCATTGTGGGAGAAGGTAGGGCTCAGCGGTGTTCGCGGAAATGTGTAGCCGATTTTAGTTCCATGAATTTGGCTACACATACCGCTGACCTCGTTCGCATTAACAAAGATGGCCGCCGCCACGTGTTCAGCAAACGAACAAAGGCCACCCAGCATTGTCAATTAAGCTGCGGTTAACCGCAGCTTCTGGGAGGTAAATTGCCTGCACACTTCCACTTCTGGGTGGTCTGCCTGTGTGGTACTTGGTTCAGTAAGCCCCATTTACTGAACCAAGTGGGAAATAGCCAGGCACAAAGGGCTTTAACCAGGTCTGGGGACACAGGGCACAGCGTCTTAAAGGGGCAGTGTCCCAAACAAGTCTGGGGACACCGTCTTAAAGGGGCAGTGTCCCAATCTTCCTGATGTCCCAAAAAGGTGTTTAAAGGGCCAGCACCGGTCCCATAAAGAGTCCATAAGCCACAATATGCCCACTGCCTGTCTTAAAGGGCCATACACACCCAATAAAAGTGCATAAGTTCCCACAATCTCCCAGGGGCCATAGTCATGTGGAAGGAGGTTTGCAAATAGGCTTCTCCACAACCCAGGGAAGCAGGGCAATTTGCCATTTAAAGGCCCAGTTACAAATAGCAGTTTGTAACAAATAACATATCATTAAATTAATTAATTGTCTATTATAGCAATCAGGGAAGAAAAAAAAGTCAGAACAATTATTTCTGAAGAAAATCTCTGGGGAGCCATGGCTATAATTCGTCCTCCCTCCTGGACGAATTAAGTTTAAATGAACAATTTAGTTGAATTTAGAGCTTGGTATAAATTCTTTGCAGTTCTCATAACATGATTGTGTTTCCCCATGATGAAGGGTATGAAGCCCGCTTAGAGTGTGATATATTAATAACATATTTTACTATCACTGTTCTTTGGGACCAAATAATATTTATCAGCGCATAACCAAGTCCCATGGAAAGAACAATAATTATTGTTCATTCTGAACCAAAGTCTGAGGTTGATCATTCTTTGTTTTGACTATCAGGAGGGCTTGATGTGGGACATCTTTTTAATCGGCTTGCATGAATCCATATCTGGTTCTCCTCGGTCAGAACGGCTGTTTGGGTGATGGCAACAACGTTTGTCAGAGGGCCATACGGTGGATCAAAGGTTCCGGATTTGAAGAGGGACTTCACCAAGACTTGGTCTCCAGGCCTAAAAGGATTTGTGGTAGTACCTGCAGGATGAGGAAGAGATAGAGACACATCACCATAGAATGTGGTTCAAAGAGTATGAATGTCCCAAAGAGCTGAATCTCTCAAAGAGCCGAATGTTTGAATCTTTTTTTTTTTTTTCTGAATCCCTTTGTGCACGTCATTAATGATAGGACCAATAGGGAACTGTAGGTGGGTCTTCCCTACAGACTATCATCTAGATTTTGGTCAGTAGATGGCGCAATTACATCACCAAAATATCTTGTCAGGGGGTCCCTTTGCCTTTTTGCATAATGGGTAATCTGAAATTGGTGATGCGTTTTACGTCATTTACAGCTATCTTTATGTCTACTATAAATCTAAATTCCTGCCAATTTCAAAGGTTTTGTTTCACTCTCACCCAGACTTAATGTCTGGCATGTACCTGTCACGTATTCATCCGCTTATAAAAATGTGGTTAATGACATTTACTGTCCACACAGGAAAAGTTGTGCCGAGCAGCAACCAAATCCACAGAAGGGTTAATGCTGAGTAGCTATTATGCAAATGGGAACCTGGTAACTGTCTTTGGGGTCAAAGGCCAGTTACAGCCTATCAGATCTAGAGGAGGGGTATTTAGAGCCAGTTTTCATCCTGCTCAGTGCCCTGTCGTGGTTTCCCTTGTGGTTGTCTGAGAGCGTGTTATTGATTCTGGTAATTCTGGTTATTTGACTTTGGCATTGTTTTTGACTTCAATGTTTTCTGGCATCCCTGATTCCTGGCTTTTCCTTATCGTTGTGTCTCTTTCTGTTTCCCTCGACCTCGGCTATTCCTGACTATTCTTTGGTACGTTAGTCTGGCCATTCTAAGGTCCGGTATACGTTACCTATCAGTCCTCTGTGTTACACAATTCTACGTGCTGGATCATTCTGTAATCCTGACAATACCTTTAATACCTTTCTATCTTTCTGACATCATGTCTAAACTCTCCTTCACCTCTTGCTTTCAATGGAACTAGTGATGTTCTGTTAATTTTTTTTAAATTTAAATTTTAATTTTTAGAAAGTACAATTAATTACTTAGTGTTATCTGTCATTGGTGTCTGGTTTTCCTGTGTGAAACTGTGTTTTAGATTATTTCTATTCCACTAACATTATTAAATAATATGATATTTCTTCATTGATATTTATCTATGAATAGTCAATATTATTAACATGATACTAATTATATATGATAATATAATAGTAATTTATAAGTGGATAGTGTGTATAAGTATATACAATTATGTATACATTTGTCTCTGGGTTTGTATTCCATTCCCCCATTTTTTTTCTGTGAGACCTCATGCCTTATCACTTGTCTTGTTTACATAACGCATTCCTTAGCTCAGACTTGGATGAATAGAGTGATAGAAAGAAATCTTGTGTCTGTCTTAGCCTTGTAGTACAAAATAGAATCACCTCTGTTCTGAGAGTGACTGGCAGTATACACTTTTAATTTCTGTCTTAATACAAAATGTCTACCGATATAAATATACTGACAGATCATTGAGGATACCAGAAGCTGCATCAGGTGTAATAGAATGTATGCTCCAGTAAGCTAAGTCATCTGAATATGCTGCAGCCTGTATAAAAAGAATATCAATATCATCAGTATGAGGGGCTCTATGCACTGCAGTTAAGATCTGGTAACGAGAAATAGTACTGTAATTTGGCCATAAGGGAAAAGAGGCACCAAATCTGCAAAATCATTACCATCCCTGACAATTGAGTGATCTGTATCATGGCCCTTGCACTTCACAATAGCTAAAGATCTAGGTAACCGTATGGCCCTCAATAATCCATCAATTAATGCAAAATGAGAAACCGTTCGACCATCAGCTGCAACAAAGCCTCTAGCCTGTCAAATGACACCAAAATAATGAACCACTCCAAAGGCGTATCTCGAATCGGTATTCTGGCCCAGACTTAATATCTGGCATATACCTTTAAATCTAGCTTTCTGACATGTCTAAACTCTCCTTCACCTCATGCTTACAATGGAACTAGTGATTGGGGTTTGGAGGGAACTATTTGCCAGCTTTTTACCCTGTGACGATGGCCCCTTTAATTTATTGTGGATGAGAGACTCTATTTGTGGCTATTGGGACTTTAAACAATTGTTCTTCGAACTCCCGAACAGTTGAAGTGGCTGCCATTCGACGTGGTGGCGGCCATCTTGTTCACATGGACCAAAACCACTATTAGACTTCAGGGGGACTTAGCCGCGAAAGCCCTGGAACTATTTTCGGCATGAAAACCTTGTGGTTCACGGTCAGAAGACATGAATGGACTTTATATCAAGGAACCTAGCCATATCATTCCTGAGTTCATCCATCTGCTGCGCTCAGAACTGGGCTACATAATGAACGCTGGAATGGAAAATATGTCTGTTAAAGTATTAAAGTTATGTAATTTTATACAGTTTTATGGGTTGTAATAAAACGTGGGATTTTGGGCACTTGGAGATAATTACATTGTCCCAACCGTTGGACTCATTATCTCCAAGCTGGGTGGTAACAATTTCAAAGGATACATTGTATTACTATTAGTCAACTGCTCATATTGTCACTGTATCCCATCAGGTCCAGAGGGGGCTGTCCCTGGAATAGTGATGCCTGTGTGCCATTAAAGCCAGTTCGTTTTACCCTCAATTCGCAGCCTCGACTCGTGGTGTAGGGATCCGGGAATCCTAGCTTTACTATAGCTAGTGGGATATTCTACACTTACAGGTTTCTACTGTTTGAAGCAGAGTTCGACTCTCCACCTTCGGGAACCAGGACATCAAAGCGATCCAAACTCCTGCTAGACCGGAGGCAATCGTAACATGTTCCTATCTTGTTATAAAAATGTTTTTTTGGGTTTTTTTTTAAAGTGCAGTACCTCTTGACTACCTGTACCAAATGTTTAATATGATATGTAATACTGAACAAGTCACTGTTTACGCCTGTACTAAGCTCTGCACTCAAAAATAAAGAATAAAAAAAATTAAAATCTGCCCTCCAAACTGTTGATCCATTGTTACTCTTTTTAAATAATTGGTGGCGCCTTCTGGAAGCTTAAATGGATCAGGACACTGAGTCCCAAGAGAGACCAACTGTGATCCAGAAGGAGGCTTAATTATAACAGTCTCACCAGCAACTACAAAAGGATAGGCAGAAGCAGACACATGACTGGGAACTAGTACACCATGACTCTTATCACACTCATCCGTCACTATAACACTACCACTGCCTGGCAACAAATTTCTAGCTTTGTCAGTAATTCATCTTTAGATATAGCATGGGCCAGCATCCGTAGATTGTTCTATTCCAGTGTAACAGCTAGAATAGACTTACTTTTATCAACATTCTTATTCCCTGCACCAACATCCACAGACTTTTTAGTCACTTTCTCATCTTTCATACCAACATCAACACTTTCTGCAGTGGATCTCACCATTGCAGAAGAATTCACAACCATCTGTCCAACATGCCTGTTCCCTCTACCAATCGCCATTAAAATTTCATCAGTATAATCATCCGAATAATCATATTTTAATTCACTTAAACTAGGATATAATGGTACAACAGATGGTACATAAGCAGGTGGTGCTGCAGAGGCCTGAACATACTTTGTAGCCTGATGAGGAATAACCCATAACTGAGCACACTTTAACCATCCTGTAGCTGAATTATGCATGTACTTCTTATCCCATTTTGGATCTCTACCTGGACCCAACGTTTTAATACACATACCTTTCAGCATTTGCAAATGAAAATCACAAAAAAAAAACCTCTCTTGGCCATGGATTACAAATCATTGTATCACAATTCTCTGACCATTTAACTAAATTTGTACAAAATGGCTCAGCATAGTAATCTCCAATAGTTTCTTGAACAAACTGGCATGGAGTTTGGCCTAATCGAGGACCCTGAGACTTAGGAGTATGTGACGCAGCACTATTAGGGACATCTTTAGATGATTTACATTTTACAGAATTTTGTTGGGAATTTTTACCGTTACTGGAGCCCATTTCCAACTTCACACAGATAACACTTTACAATATATGAGACACTTTATATATGAGCAACGCACAATTTTAAACAATACAACTATACATGCAGCGCTGCAATAATAAAAATAAAGAAAGGAAGGAGGCGCCACTACAAACCACATAAATGAAAAGAGCATAGAATAGTCAGACTAAAATGCAATATATATAATAGATAATAAGCAAATAGAAGTCCAGAATAAAAAGTCTGACTGGTAGATGGATCAAACAACGAGGTATATCTTTGTAGAGGTGAATACAGTCTTTAGTAGTGGAGGATTCTTCAGAGTGGTGTAGATGCGTCTTTGTACATCATATGAAATAAAAAAAATAACAACTGATGGTATAGTACAGGGCTAGGCAGCCTACAGCAATAGTACCATGCACGGCACTCGAGGTGCCTTTGCACGGCACTCAAGGCTGCTAGAGCTAAACAGGCACCAGCCTATCAGGAGTCCCAGTAAAACTTCAGATATCTGCTAATACGAAGAGGTTGTGAAGGACTATCCTCAATTTATGCATTGAAGCACGTAGAGGAAGTGATCTCAGAGCACTTCATTCCAGCACTTGTGAATGGGAATCCACACTGTAGTAGAGCAGCTCGCAGTTGTTGTTGCAGCTCCTGTCCTTGACCTGTACCTGGCCGGCCTGTTCCTCACTGGAACCCAGGGAAGCCACCCACACTGCTAGATGTACACAGAAATGTAGAAAGATCCTCCCTTCATACAAATAATACGGACAGCCCACACACAAACATACACACAATCCGCACAAACGCAACACCACTAACAATCCACATACATGCACACAACCCCACATGCATCCTCTCACATGCAATACCCCAAACAGCCCCCACACATACACACACTACCAAACACACAATGTGACACATCCATCCACACACACAATTCCACAAGCTGCCCCCATACACAGCCCACATATCATACACGATACCACAAACTACTCATGAACATATACAATATAATAGCTCATATACACACAAATACAACGATACAAAGCAATTACAGTATAAATAACACAAGCAGAATACGGCAGCATACACACCTCAATTAAAAAAAAAAAATAGGACCGGCACGCTACGGGACATCACAATCCTATATCGGCACAGTGCTGCTAAAAGGTTGCCTACCCCTGGTATAGTATGTCCCGAAAGTTTATCCCTCTGTGTCCAAACTGTGTATCCAATATAGTTACTAAATTTGGTCACTCAGTGGGACTGCTATACCCACTATATACAACAATATGGAACTCTTACCCATGAAAATATCCATGTTTCTCTCTTATACAACTCAACATGGGACTCTAACCCATGACATAATAACAACCTAACATAGGACTCTACCCATGACATAATAACAACTTAACATGGGACTCTACACATGATATAATAAGAACTTGGGACTCTAACCCATGACATAATAACAACTTAACATGGGACTCTAACCCATGACATAATAAGAACTTAACATGGGACTCTACCCATGACATAATAACAATATAACATGGGACTCTATCCCATGACATAATAACAAGTTAACATGGGACTCTACCCCATGACATAATAACAAGTTAACATGGGACTCTACCCCATGACATAATAACAAGTTAACATGGGACTCTAACCCATGACATAATAACAAGTTAACATGGGACTCTAGCCCATGACATAATAACAACTTAACATGGGACTCTAACCCATGACATAATAACAAGTTAACATGGGACTCTAGCCCATGACATAATAACAACTTAACATGGGACTCTAGCCCATGACATAATAACAACTTAACATGGGACTCTAGCCCATGACATAATAACAACTTAACATGGGACTCTACCCCATGACATAATAACAACTTAACATGGGACTCTACCCCATGACATAATAAGAACTTAACATGGGACTCTAACCTATGACATAATAAGAACTTAACATGGGACTCTACCCATGACATAATAAAAATTTAACATGGGACTCTACCCATGACATAATAACTTAACATGGGACTCTAACTCATGACATAATAAGAACTTAACATGGGACTCTACCCATGACATAATAACAACTTAACATGGGACTCTAACCCATGACATAATAACAACTTAACATGGGACTCATGACATAATAAATAATGCTGTAATAAAATATATTTTGTAAAATATTATAATGCACAGTTACTTGTAGACTCAAACCCATTTAACATCAAAGAGTACAACAAAAACAAAAAGAAAAGCAAATAAAAAAACATTACTTTTCTGCAACCACAAAAAAATAGTTCAGAGAATCCAAACAGGGCAAAGAACACAAAAATGAAACACAAAACGTTCCTACCCGATTTGGATTCTCTATCCCACTTCTGACACCATATTGTTGTGGTTTAAATTCAGCAGACAGCAATGTTTTCTCTCGGGTATGAAGACAAGGAATGGACACAGCAGAAATACGAGCTCGGAGGGCAGTACTTGTCCACACAAATGTATGGCTGAATATTGCTCCTGATTTAATGGGAGAAGACACAGATCTTAGATCCAATTCTGTACATATCCAAAAAGGGGTTGTCTTCACACAATACATTAGGTTTTACATATGGTCATGTCCAGTGAAATGCATCTTCAAAGAACTTATAACACCTGGCATTAGCTGGTTAAAAGATGTTACTTGATTAAACAAACACTCTCCAATAGTCATAAAGATAAGGTGTTAACAAGATATAGGGGGTGGGGGGAACAAGAAGAAGATACAAATCAGGATCAAAGGCCAATTGTTATAATAGAGCATCCTGACATTACTCAATCATTGTGTGACACAGGATATAAGGGGAAAGGGTGCTCATTAATCCATATCATTATCCAACTCTTCAATTTGTCCTGGGGGCCTATAAATCACACCTACACGAGTTACTGTGTGATTACCAAATTCTAACGTAACCCAAACGGACTCTGTTCGCCTCACTAACTTTTATTAGGCTAGATTTTATGCTATCCTTCACATACAAGGCCACACCACCCCCTTTCTTGCCTTCCCTGTCTTTCCTATATAAAGAGTACCCTGGTATTGCTATGTCCCAGTCATTTTTCTCATTATACCATGTCTCAGTAACAGCAACTAAATCTACACTATCAGTTGCCATTATTGCCACAAGTTCATGGATCTTATTCCCTAAACTGTGAGCATTTGTAGACATGACTCTAAGCTTATCTTTTTTTAACACACGTGCTACAGGCACCTTCTGTCCTTGTTTTGGGGGACAATTGGACTGATGTTTTATCACCCTTTTGCCCCCCCCCTCCTAGTTTAAATATATCCTAGCAAAACACTTTGAACTGCTCACTGAGAACATTTGTTCCATTTTGAGAAAGATACAAACCATCTTTTTTGTACAGCTTATCTCCATTCCAAACAGAGCAATAAAGCCAAATCCTTGCTCCCGACACCATTCACCAAGCCACAAATTAAAGTCCCTAATACGCATCCGCCTGTCGTTCTGAGTGTCATGCACAGGCAGAACTTCAGAGAATGACAGTGTGGAAGCAACCTGCCGTATATCATTGGCAAACACACTAAAAACGTCCTTTACCTCTGAAACCTCATTGCAAGTCAAGTTATTTGTCCCTAGATGGACAAGTACATCCAATTCCCCTTCCTGCTTTGTTTGCTTAACAATATTACAAATATGTCTCCTGTCTCTGTGAGCAGTAGCTCCGGGAAGACATCTCACAAGACCACCATTGTCCATCTCCACACCTCTTATGATAGAATCCCCCAACAACAACTGCTTTCTCTTAGGCCTCACCATAGTCTCCAAGCCTGTCTCCATAATACCACTACACTCAGTGCCTGAGCCTGTATCCATAATACCACTACACTCAGTGCCTGAGCTTGTCTCCATAACACCACTACACTCAGTGCCTGAGCCTGTCTCCATAACACCACTACACTCGGTGGCTGAGCCTGTCTCAACAACACCATACACCTGGTACCTGAGCCTGTCCCCACAACACCACTACACTCAGTGCCTGAGCCTGTCACCACAACACCACTACATACTGTGCCTGAACTTGTCTCCACAACACCACTACACTCATTGCCTGTTAGGATTACTGTAGATGCCCAACACGCAGAACTTAAGTAGATAATAAGAAAATACCTAAGACGTATTACCGGGCCTTACAATGCCTTGAACGTATAAAGGCAAAAAAACACAAGACAGGGTAAAGACAAGAAATATAGTAAACGATGAACAAGCCACGGGTCAGGGAATGGAGAAATCAGAATAGTCAGGAGCCAAGCCAAAGGTCAAAGAATACAGCGATCGGATAGTCAAAAAGGAAAGCCAAGGTCAAATACACAAGAATCAATACAAGGAACGTGCTCTTAGCACCGAGAATGGACAAAACAGGCTTATATAGTCTAAAGTGCTTCCTGATTGGCTGCAGGGAAGCATGTGATCATGGGCGTGTATGTGAAACACCTTCATGAGTAATACTAACCTGGCCCTTTAAGGGTTAAGCAGGGAAACCCTTATATTCTTCAAAGCTGCAGCAGCCAGCGTCTCTAATGTTGACAGAGCCAGCCGCTGTGAGAGGAGGAGGAGGAGTCACCACAAGGGGTGAGTGATGGGCGGCATTCCCACAACCACGTGGAAATGCCACCGGACCGAGACGTGCCCGCCGGGTATGAGCGGACTTGGCAGGTGGAGACCTGAGAGGTAGGAGATCGACTGCATTCCCCTTAGTGTGTGGGAATGTCGCCGCAACAATACGCGTCCTGGCGGGCAGTGTGACACTGAGAATGTCTCCATAACACCACTACACTCGGTGCCTGAGCCTGTATCTACGACACCACTACCCTCAGTGCCTGAGCCTGTCTCCATAACACCACTACACTTCGTGCCTGAGAATGTCTCCATAACACCACTACACTCGGTGCCGGAGCATGTCTCCATAACACCATTACACTTTGTGCCTGAGAATGTCTCCATAACACCATTACACTTTGTGCCTGAGAATGTCTCCATAACACCACTACACCTGGTGCCTGAGAATGTCTCCATAACACCACTACACCTGGTGTCTGAGAATGTCTCCATAACACCACTACACCTGGTGTCTGAGAATGTCTCCATAACACCACTACACTCGGTGCCTGAGCCTGTATCTACGACACCACTACCCTCAGTGCCTGAGCCTGTCTCCATAACACCACTACACTTCGTGTCTGAGCCTGTCTCCATAACACTACTACACTTCGTACCTGATAATGTCTCCATAACACCACTACACTCGGTGCCTGAGCCTGTCTCCATAACACCACTACACTCTGAAAGTGCTGAAAATGAATTATTTATTATGTATGAGCAACAGACTGTGCAATATGCCTTTTATCCACAACTCTACAAAGGCTACCAGATCCTACAGCAATCCATCTGCCATTCCTAGTACGTTTCTGCGGCAGTGGCTTTGCAACAATTCCAGCCTGAGTTTTTTTACTGGATAATTACAAATCTCAGACTTCAAAAATACAATCTCCTGCCGCAATATAGAGAACTGTCTACAGATTAGACAGCATCCAAATCTCCAAAAAGTGGGATGTGAAACAAATGCACAGCGACTGTTACACTGAACTAAGTCTGACATTTTAATGAGGTGAGTAATTTAAATCAAACAAATGTTAACCTTTTTTTGTACTCCTGTATACCTCAGATAACCCCCAGTTTATCTCCAGAATATCTCCAATCACACACTTTGAAGCAGCTACCAAGCTATAGTAGCCAAGCTAAAAGAACTAAACTGGCTGTCGCTGGAATCTAGACGCACCCTTCATCTTTCCAGCCTTGTGTTTAAGAGCTTTTCTGGGAAACTCCCACCCTACCTGAGCAAAATGCTCTCCTCAGCTGTTCCCACCTCCTATCCAGTACCAGCACTTTATTTAGTCTACCTCAACAGAAAAAAAAAGCAGTCCGATCCTCCTTTTCCTACAGAGTTCCGCAATTATGGAACGACCTCCCACACAATTTAAAATCTTCCCCAACCCTAAAGTCCTTTAAGAGATCCTTCTCTACATACCTCAAAACAGAATGCACCTGTCATGGTTGATTATATATTTCCTGTACAGATTGGAGAATTCAGAAGAGGGTTGGTAAAAACCAGTCCACCTACAGAAAACTCCCTTAAGTGGAGCGCTAAACAATACTTACCCCTAGATATTGGGGTGTATCCCAAATGAAGATTGGATATACAAAGCAACAAGAAAAATAAAAATACAATAGTGAAGTATGTTAATACTGGTATATAAATCCTAAAATAGTAAAAGCAAACTCACAAGTGCAGAGCCAATTGAAGGACTGGCTCAAAATCACAAACGTCTTGGTGTGCATAAGGAGACACCTTCCCTCTTTGTGTTTTCTTTCTTAAATGCTCGTAGAGAAATAAAGGGAAGATATCTTTCTAGTGAAGTATGTTAAGATAAGATATAGATACAGATAAAATATTTGGGACTTTGGAACTTCGCCACTTCGGAATTTCGGTAACTTAGGCACTTCGGAACTTCGGCAACTTCAGCACTTCAGAATTTCGGAACTTCTCTTGCAGCCGCTTGGTAGATAACTCCCTAATGCCCACGGTATTAGGGAGCTATCTACCAAAAGGCTGAAAGACCTAAATTGTTTTTTCAGACAAATTTACTAATACTAACTAAAGATTACTTAGTATTAGTAAATTATGCCCCTACTCGCTATACCGCGAGTATGGGCATGTCTAGTAAACAGTGAGCAGCCTGTGGCTGCTCACTGTTAAAAAATAAAATAAAAAAACCTACTGCCCCCCCGGCCCACACCACTGAGCGGCGGGTGGGGGCCCTAAGGTAAAATAATGGAAGGGACCTATTGTCCTCCCCCCTGCCCCCACCCCTGAGCAGTGGGTGGGGGCCCTAAATTAGAATAAGGGGGGGGGGATCTAATGTCCCCACCAGATTAGAATGAGGGGGGAGGACATTAGGTCCTATTGTCCTTCCCCCAGGCCCCCACCCCTGAGTGGTGGGTGGGGTTCCTAAATACTAATTGGGGGGGACCTAATGTCCTCCCCCCTGACCCCACCCCTGAGCGATGGGTGGGGGCCCTAAATTAGAATGAGGGGGGGGAGGACCTAATGCCCACCCCTAATTAATATTTAGGGCCCCCACCCACTGCTTAGGTCCCCCCTGTGACGAAGTGCCCTTCGCCACTTGGTCCTGGAGAGGCCTACTTGCCAGCCTCCTCCCCTGTGACTATGACTCTTTCACGTTTCTGGCTTTAAAGACCCTAGTCTACCTTCAGACAGACTATTTATGTAGGCTGCTTTATTTATCTTATGTTTTAGTCACCCTGTACCCATTATAGGTGCAGGGTGTATGTAATGTAATTGTTTATAGTGTGTGTGTACTGTGTAATGTATTGCCTGCTCTCTTGTACTGCTGAGGTTTGCTACCAACTAAGTGGGTTTGGCTATGGAGCTTGTCTAGTGCCCTCTGTTGGTAGCAACAGCAATATGCACTACCTGAATAGCAAGACTGGTTCATTTGCATATTCGGGTAGATTTACATATTGCTAATTCTGCAGACACATGAGATATTTTCTGTTAAATATTGTCTCCCCCACCCCTTTAAAAATGTGCCATTGTGTTGTGATAAGTCACTGTGTGTTGCCTGCTATGGTTTGACTGTTTGTGATTTTATTGAGTTTTCACAGCAATGTTAATGTTGTGACCCTATGGGCTGGTCCCAATGGAAATAAAGGTTTAGACAGTTCTTCTTGATTCCTCTAAATGTAGCCTTGCCTCGTTATTGGAAGATGCTGTTATAATCACACTGGGGATTGCTTTGCTCTGCATACTCCCCTGAGCTTGAATCACTTAGCTCTTTTAAGAGCTTGTTCCTGACACGCTCTCTTTGGAGGAGGGGTCTTCACCACACAGTCCTGGATGCTTGAGGTTCATACAGGGTGGAAGGAAGAGTTCTTTCCCACACAGTCCTGGAGGACAGAAGCTGATCCAGGGTGGAAGGAAGACGGCGAGACTCCAGTCAAGACACAGCGGTTGCGGAGTCTGCGGTGGTTGTGGTGTCTGCTGCACTGCTTGGAGTCCTCAGGAAGCGCTAGGAGCATCCGTCAACGGCGGGTACTCAGTTGGAGTACAAGGAGCTCCGTTACATTGGTGGCAGCGGTGGGATGGCGTCCTAGTGCGAGGAGAAGCAGCTCGGAGACACTGGTATCGTATGAGAGGTTATTGAGGGCAACGCTAGCCACTGTGCAGCGTCCCTAACTACAGCAGCATGGAGCAGGGATGGATAGAGCCCTGCGAAGAGCACCTCAACATGATACGTTGCTACGAGGACGAGGGGGAGGTAAAGAGGCGGTTGGTCTGCTATGGCCCAGACCTTTCGAACGAGGTGGTCCACCAAGTAATGCGCCAGTTGAGTGCTGAGAACAGTGCGGCAATGGCCTTTGAGCAAAAACTGTGGAGGTTGAGGATATGGACACCTGGTCTCCAGCGGCAGTGCAAGTTACAGGGAGCCGAAGGTGTCGTCCTTCCTCCCCAGCGGCAGTGCAAGTTACAGGGAGCCGAAGGTGTCGTCCTTCCTCCCCAGCGGCAGTGCAAGTTACAGGGAGCCGAAGGTGTCGTCCTTCCTCCCCAGCGGCAGTGCGAATTCCAGGGGGCCGAAGGTGTCGTCCTACAGGGAGCAGAGACAGTTGGTCTCTCTCTCCAGCAGCAGGACAATGTTATGGGAGTGGCAGCCTGTGTTTCAGGGAGAGGAGCACAGCACCCTATCTCCCCAGCGGCAGCTTACCCTACCAAGGGGAGACACCAATCTCCCAGATGGCGCAGATGGGACCGTGGTCTCTGTGCCCGACCTACAGGGATGCTGGACAGCCTGTCCAGATCCCCAACTACCCTCACAGGGACAACAGGAGGAGCGGGTAAGTACGAATTCCCCTCCCCAGCTAACTCCTAACTTGGCCCCAGGGTTAACAGAGGAGATGTTAACCCCCACTGACCTCCACATTCCCCTGGCTACTGAGCCGGACTATGTCCCAAGCCCCCCAGCGGAAGAGTTGGCAGCTGGGCAGAGTAGAGTCGGCCCCTGCCCTCCCTTTGTCCCTTGTCCAGAGCCTGTTGTCCTGCAAGCTATACCAGCAGAAGAGCTGGCATCAGGGCAGACCGCCGCTAGCCTCTGCCCTACCGATCCCCTTGTCACAGGACTGGCCTGCACCCCCCTCCTCCCAGCAGAAGCGCTGGCATCAGGGCAGAGCGCCGCTGGCCTCTGCCTCTCAAGTCCCCACAGCGTGTTGCCCCATCACCCCAGAGGAATACCCAGGTGCAGTCACTGTTTGCTGTGGGTGGGCTGCTCTAATAACTGTTGTGGGTGGGCTACTCTGGCACTTGTTTATGGTCGGTGGGTGACTCGACTAACTTAGGCACTGACCGACAGAAAGTCAGGTGCCTGGTTAGTCTTCCCCCCGAAGGGGAGATATGTGACGAAGTGCCCTTCGCCACTTGGTCCTGGAGAGGCCTACTTGCCAGCCTCCTCCCCTGTGACTATGACTAAGTGTTGCAAATGCTTACAGCTGAATCCTGGCTATGTTTGTATACATTTTTTCATTTAAACTTGTATACAGTGTAACATTCTTCTTCTTCCACTGGGTAAGTATATTAGTACTTAGGCAAAACTGTGCTTCGGAACTTCGACACTTCGGAAATTCGGTAATTTCGGAACTTCAGGACCTCAGTAATTTGGCTATTCGGAAGTACCCGAATGTCCGAAATTTGTCCGAATACATATTCGGCCCGAAACGAATTGCACATGTCTAGTGGCGAGAGAGACATTGCCACTGTTTTTTGGAGGGGCTTGTTGGCTAGCCTCTTGCCCTGCGACTATGGCCCTGTAGTGAACTCGGAACTACAAACACTGTTCGTGCCTTTTGTCCTGTTATGGTGCAGTATATGGGGCTACCGAATGGATTATGCTTATGGTGTTCATTTATCGAACAAACTGACGAACAGCCGGACTACCCGCAAGTGAAGTGTGCAGCTTGTTAACCTCCCAGAAGCTGTGGTTAGCCGCATCCTAATTGTGTGCGGCTGGGTGTCGGCGTTCGTATGAACGAACGTGTGGTGGCGGCCATCTTAAACTGTCGAATGGCTAGCAGTGTTTTGCTGTCGAACGCATGGAACTACTTTAGGACACTAGTTCCAACGAACACTGCTGGGACTTCCAGACTTCCAGCAATTTGTCTATTTTCATAAGAACGCAGTGGCGTTTGGTATATTTATATTAACCGGTGATATGCATTTAGTAACTGAGGAAATGTGTATAATACCCAGTGAAATGATTATAGCAACCGGCTTAATGTTTATAGCAACCAGAGGTATGTTTATACCAACAGGAGTGTGTTTATAGCAACCAGATATATGTTTATAGCAACCACACACATGATAATAGCAATAGGAGATATGTTTATATCAACCGGTGATATGGTTTTAGTAGCTGGAGAAATGTGTATAATACCCAGTGAAATCTTTATAGCAACCGGCTTAATGTATATGGCAACAGGACTGTGTTTATAGCAACCAGATTTAGGTTTATAGCAACCAGAGACATGATAATAGCAATAGGAGATATGTTTATATTAACCGGTGATATGCATTTAGTAATTGAGGAAATGTTTTTAACATCTAGTGAAATGTTTATAGCAACCGACTTAATGTTTATAGCAACCAGAGGTGTGTTTATAGCAATAGGAGATATGTTTATAGCAACCAGACACATGATAATAGCAATAGGAGATATGTTTATATCAACCGGTGATATGGTTTTAGTAGCTGGAGAAATGTGTGTAATATCCAGTGAAATGTTTATAGCAACCGGCTTAATGTTTATAGCAACCAGAGGTATGTTTATAGCAACAGGAGTGTGTTTATAGCAACCAGGTTTATGTTTATAGCAACCAGAGACATCATAATAGCAATAGGAGATATGTTTATATCAATGGGTGTTATGCTTCTAGTAGCTGGAGAAATATGTGTAATATCCAGTGAAATGTTTATAGCAACCGGCTTAATGTTTATAGCAACCAGAGGTATGTTTATAGCAACAGGAGTGTGTTTATAGCAACCAGATTTACGTTTATAGCAACCAGAGACATGATAATAGCAATAGGAGATATGTTTATATTAACCGGCGATATGCATTTAGTAACTGAGGAAATGTGTATAATACCCAGTGAAATGATTATAGCAACCGGCTTAATGTTTATAGCAACCAGAGGTATGTATATAGGAACAGGAGTGTGTTTATAGCAACCAGATTTATGTTTGTAGCAACCAGAGGCATCATAATAGCAATAGGAGATATGTTTATATCAATTATTAATGGGTGATATGCATTTAGTAACTGAGGAAATGTGTATAATACACAGTGAAATGATTATAGCAACCGGCTTAATGTTTATAGCAACCAGAGGTATGTATATAGGAACAGGAGTGTGTTTATAGCAACCAGATTTATGTTTATAGCAACCAGACACATCATAATAGCAATAGGAGATATGTTTATATCAATGGGTGATATGCTTTTAGTAACTGGAGAAATGTGTGTAATATCCAGTGAAATGTTTATAGCAACCGGCTTAATGTTTATAGCAACCAGAGGTATGTTTATAGCAACAGGAATGTGTTTATAGCAACCAGATTTATGTTTATAGCAACCAGAGACATGATAATAGCAATAGGAGATATGTTTATATTAACCGGTGACATGCATTTAATAACTGAGGAAATGTGTATAATACCCAGTGAAATGATTATAGCAACCGGCTTTATGTTTATAGCAACAGGAGTGTGTTTATAGCAACCAGATATATGTTTATAGCAACCACACACATGACAATAGCAATAGGAGATATGTTTATATCAATGGGTGATATGCTTTTAGTAACTGGAGAAATGTGTGTAATATCCAGTGAAATGTTTATAGCAACCGGCTTAATGTTTATAGCAACCAGATTTATGTTTATAGCAACCAGAGACATGATAATAGCAATAGGAGATATGTTTATATTAACCGGTGACATGCATTTAATAACTGAGGAAATGTGTATAATACCCAGTGAAATGATTATAGCAACCGGCTTTATGTTTATAGCAACAGGAGTGTGTTTATAGCAACCAGATATATATTTATAGCAACCACACACATGACAATAGTAATAGGAGATATGTTTATATCAATGGGTAATATGGTCTTAGTAGCTGGAGAATTGTGTGTAATATCCAGTGAAATGTTTATAGCAACCGGCTTAATGTTTATAGCAACAGGAGTGTGTTTATAGCAACCAGATATATGTTTATAGCAACCAGACATATGATAATAGCAATAGGAGATATGTTTATATCAACCGGTGATATGGTTTTAGTAGCTGGAGAAATGTGTGTAATATCCAGTGAAATGTTTATAGCAACCAGAGGTATGTTTATAACAACAGGAGTGTGTTTATAGCAACCAGATTTATGTTTATAGCAACCACACACATGATAATAGCAATAGGAGATATGTTTATATCAACCGGTGATATGGTTTTAGTAGCTGGAGAAATGTGTATAATACCCAGTGAAATCTTTATAGCAACCGGCTTAATGTATATGGCAACAGGACTGTGTTTATAGCAACCAGATTTAGGTTTATAGCAACCAGAGACATGATAATAGCAATAGGAGATATGTTTATATTAACCGGTGATATGCATTTAGTAATTGAGGAAATGTTTTTAACATCTAGTGAAATGTTTATAGCAACCGACTTAATGTTTATAGCAACCAGAGGTGTGTTTATAGCAATAGGAGATATGTTTATAGCAACCAGACACATGATAATAGCAATAGGAGATATGTTTATATCAACCGGTGATATGGTTTTAGTAGCTGGAGAAATGTGTGTAATATCCAGTGAAATGTTTATAGCAACCGGCTTAATGTTTATAGCAACCAGAGGTATGTTTATAGCAACAGGAGTGTGTTTATAGCAACCAGGTTTATGTTTATAGCAACCAGAGACATCATAATAGCAATAGGAGATATGTTTATATCAATGGGTGTTATGCTTCTAGTAGCTGGAGAAATATGTGTAATATCCAGTGAAATGTTTATAGCAACCGGCTTAATGTTTATAGCAACCAGAGGTATGTTTATAGCAACAGGAGTGTGTTTATAGCAACCAGATTTACGTTTATAGCAACCAGAGACATGATAATAGCAATAGGAGATATGTTTATATTAACCGGCGATATGCATTTAGTAACTGAGGAAATGTGTATAATACCCAGTGAAATGATTATAGCAACCGGCTTAATGTTTATAGCAACCAGAGGTATGTATATAGGAACAGGAGTGTGTTTATAGCAACCAGATTTATGTTTGTAGCAACCAGAGGCATCATAATAGCAATAGGAGATATGTTTATATCAATTATTAATGGGTGATATGCATTTAGTAACTGAGGAAATGTGTATAATACACAGTGAAATGATTATAGCAACCGGCTTAATGTTTATAGCAACCAGAGGTATGTATATAGGAACAGGAGTGTGTTTATAGCAACCAGATTTATGTTTATAGCAACCAGACACATCATAATAGCAATAGGAGATATGTTTATATCAATGGGTGATATGCTTTTAGTAACTGGAGAAATGTGTGTAATATCCAGTGAAATGTTTATAGCAACCGGCTTAATGTTTATAGCAACCAGAGGTATGTTTATAGCAACAGGAATGTGTTTATAGCAACCAGATTTATGTTTATAGCAACCAGAGACATGATAATAGCAATAGGAGATATGTTTATATTAACCGGTGACATGCATTTAATAACTGAGGAAATGTGTATAATACCCAGTGAAATGATTATAGCAACCGGCTTTATGTTTATAGCAACAGGAGTGTGTTTATAGCAACCAGATATATGTTTATAGCAACCACACACATGACAATAGTAATAGGAGATATGTTTATATCAATGGGTAATATGGTCTTAGTAGCTGGAGAATTGTGTGTAATATCCAGTGAAATGTTTATAGCAACCGGCTTAATGTTTATAGCAACAGGAGTGTGTTTATAGCAACCAGATATATGTTTATAGCAACCAGACATATGATAATAGCAATAGGAGATATGTTTATATCAACCGGTGATATGGTTTTAGTAGCTGGAGAAATGTGTGTAATATCCAGTGAAATGTTTATAGCAACCAGAGGTATGTTTATAACAACAGGAGTGTGTTTATAGCAACCAGATTTATGTTTATAGCAACCACACACATAATAATAGCAATAGGAGATATGTATATATTAACCGGTGATATGCATTTGGTAACTGAGGAAATGTGTGTAATATCCAGTGAAATGTTTATAGCAACCGGCTTAATGTTTATAGCAACCAGAAGTATGTTTATAGCAACCAGATTTATGTTTATAGCAACCAGAGACATGATAATAGCAATAGGAGATATGTTTATATTAACCGGTGATATGCATTTAGTAACTGAGGAAATGTGTATAATACCCAGTGAAATGATTATAGCAACCGGCTTAATGTTTATAGCAACCAGAGGTATGTTTATACCAACAGGAGTGTGTTTATAGCAACCAGATATATGTTTATAGCAACCACACACATGATAATAGCAATAGGAGATATGTTTATATCAACCGGTGATATGGTTTTAGTAGCTGGAGAAATGTGTATAATACCCAGTGAAATCTTTATAGCAACCGGCTTAATGTATATGGCAACAGGACTGTGTTTATACCAACCAGATTTAGGTTTATAGCAACCAGAGACTTGATAATAGCAATAGGAGATATATTTATATTAACCGGTGATATGCATTTAGTAACTGAGTAAATGTGTATAATACCCAGTGAAATGTTTATAGCAACCAGAGGTATGTTTATAGCAACAGGACTGTGTTTATAGCAACCAGATATATGTTTATAGCAACCAGACACGTGATAATAGCAATAGGGGATATGTTTATATCAACCGGTGATATGGTTTTTGTAGCTGGTGAAATGTGTGTAATATCCAGTGAAATGTTTATAGCAACCGGCTTAATGTTTATAGCAACCAGAAGTATGTTTATAGCAACAGGAGTGTGTTTATAGCAACCAGATTTATGTTTATAGCAACCAGAGACATCATAATAGCAATAGGAGATATGTTTATATCAATGGGTGATATGCTTTTAGTAACTGGAGAAATGTGTGTAATATCCTGTGAAATGTTTATAGCAACCAGCTTAATGTTTATAGCAACCAGAGGTATGTTTATAGCAACAGGAGTGTGTTTATAGCAACCAGATATATGTTTATAGCAACCACACACATGATAATTGTAATAGGAGATATGTTTATATCAATGGGTGATATGGTCTTAGTAGCTGGAGAATTGTGTGTAATATCCAGTGAAATGTTTATAGCAACCGGCTAAATGTTTATAGCAACCAGAGGTATGTTTATAGCATCCAAAGGTATGTTTATAGCAACCACACACATGATAATAGCAATAGGAGATATGTTTATATTAACCGGTGATATGCATTTAGTAACTGAGTAAATGTGTATAATACCCAGTGAAATGATTATAGCAACCGGCTTAATGTTTATCGCAACCAGAGGTATGTTTGTAGCAACCAGATATATGTTTATAACAACCACACACATGATAATAGCAATAGGAGATATGTTTATATTAACCGGTGATATGCATTTAGTAACTGAGGAAATGTGTATAATACCCAGTGAAATGTTTATAGCAACCAGAGGTATGTTTATAGCAACAGGACTGTGTTTATAGCAACCAGATATATGTTTATAGCAACCAGACACATGATAATAGCAATAGGGGATATGTTTATATCAACCGGTGATATGGTTTTTGTAGCTGGTGAAATGTGTGTAATATCCAGTGAAATGTTTATAGCAACCGGCTTAATGTTTATAGCAACCAGAAGTATGTTTATAGCAACAGGAGTGTGTTTATAGCAACCAAATTTATGTTTATAGCAACCAGAGACATCATAATAGCAATAGGAGATATGTTTATATCAATGGGTGATATGCTTTTAGTAACTGGAGAAATGTGTGTAATATCCTGTGAAATGTTTATAGCAACCAGCTTAATGTTTATAACAACCAGAGGTATGTTTATAGCAACAGGAGTGTGTTTATAGCAACCAGATATATGTTTATAGCAACCACACACATGATAATTGTAATAGGAGATATGTTTATATCAATGGGTGATATGGTCTTAGTAGCTGGAGAATTGTGTGTAATATCCAGTGAAATGTTTATAGCAACCGGCTAAATGTTTATAGCAACCAGAGGTATGTTTATAGCAACCAAAGGTATGTTTATAGCAACCAGAGGTCTGTTTATAGCAACAGGAGTGTGTTTATAGCAAACAGGAGTGTGTTTATAGCAACCATACACATGATAATAGCAAGAGGAGATATGTTTATATCAACCGGTGATATTTTTTTAGTAGCTGGAGAAATGTGTGTAATATACAGTTAAATGTTTATAGCAATCGGCTTAATGTTTATAGCAACCAGAGGTATGTTTATAGCAACAGGAGTGTGTTTATAGCAACCAGATTTATGTGTATAGCAACCAGAGACATGATAATAGCAATAGGAGATATGTTTATATTAACCGTTGATATGCATTTAGTAACTGAGGAAATGTCTGTAATATTCAGTGAAATGTTTATAGCAACCGGCTTAATGTTTATAGCAACCAGAGGGATGTTTATAGCAACAGGAGTGTGTTTATAGCAACCAGAGACATGATAATAGCAATAGGCGATATGTTTATATTAACCGGTGATATGCGTTTAGTAACTGAGGAAATGTGTATAATACCCAGTGAAATGATTATAGCAACCGGCTTAATGTTTATAGCAACCAGAGGTATGTTTATAGCAACAGGACTGTGTTTATAGCAACCAGATATATGTTTATAGCAACCAGACACATGATAATAGCAATAGGGGATATGTTTATATCAACCAGTGATATGGTTTTAGTAGCTGGTGAAATGTGTGTAATATCCAGTGAAATGTTTATAGCAACCGGCTTAATGTTTATAGCAACCAGAAGTATGTTTATAGCAACAGGAGTGTGTTTATAGCAACCAGATTTATGTTTATAGCAACCAGAGACATCATAATAGCAATAGGAGATATGTTTATATCAATGGGTGATATGCTTTTAGTAACTGGAGAAATGTGTGTAATATCCTGTGAAATGTTTATAGCAACCAGCTTAATGTTTATAGCAACCAGAGGTATGTTTATAGCAAGAGGAGTGTGTTTATAGCAACCAGATTTATGTTTAGAGCAACCAGAGACATCATAATAGTAATAGGAGATATGTTTATATTAACCGGTGACATGCATTTAGTAACTGAGGAAATGTGTATAATACCCAGTGAAATGTTTATAGCAACCGGCTTAATGTTTATAGCAACCAGAGGTATGTTTATACCAACAGGAGTGTGTTTATAGCAACCAGATATATGTTTATAGCAACCAGAGACATGATAATAGCAATAGGAGATATGTTTATATTAACCGGTGATATGCATTTAGTAATTGAGTAAATGTTTTTAACTTCACTTCATGATGATTTGACGTTATTCCTTTATCTATTTTATGACTGCATAACTCAATTTTGCTGCCAGCTTCAAAGCATTTACCTGAGACATCGTGTCGGGCATAGATCTTTAAATCTACTTTCTGACATGTCTAAACCTTAATTTGCTTACTATGGGACTTTGTAAGATTTAGAAAGTAAAATGAATTACTAAGTTTTATCTGTCCCTGGTGTCTGGCTTCCCTGGTGAAGCTGTGTGTAAGAGTATTTTATTTCACTAACATTTAGAAAGGGTATTCCACCCCCCTGCTTGCTGTGAGACTCATTGCCTTGTTTACATAACGCATTCCTTAGCTCAGACTTGAATGATTAGATTTACAGATAGGAAAGAAATGTTGTGTCTGTCTTGCCTGAAATCCAAAATGGAGTCTGCTCTGTTTTAAGTGTAACTGGCAATGTACCCTATTCATTTTTATCGTAGCGCAGAATGTCTGCCGCTATAAATATAGTGACATTGCAAAAGGAACTAACATACACAGGTTTATTTTTACTCAGTATTTCCCCATATGCTTATTACATTTAAATTATTGTGACAATTTCAATAAAATACAAATAAACAAATTATATCAGAAAACATTCAGGAACTTATAGTAACATAATTAAATATTTATAAAGGGGTGGGGAAGACAATAATTAGCCTAAAATATCTTTCATGTGGCCTATAGTTTAGTGGAAGAAGAAGTATACATGTTAGGTATATTTTAAAATCACAACTTATTATATATGACGAGGCACAGCACATAAAAGGTGGAATTGCTTTCTTTATCCATAGTTGTAGATAGAGCAATATCAATACCCCTAATACTTTTTTTTTTTTTTTTTTAATTCTTTATTTTTGTTCGTGCATAGAATGACAATTAGGTCTGTTACGCCCCAACAGCGGTGAGAGACCGATATACAACAGCTGGTATCATGGCATAGGAAATACTGTGCACAATTATTAGTTTTTGCGGTTAGATACATGTTGAAACGAGATGCAGTTATGATTAAGTTTGCTTAGAGGTTAATAAGGTTACACTGTGTGCCCCTAATACTTTAAATTAAATCTTTGTGTGTTTCTTTCCAGGTTTATTCAAGATAACAAAGAAATTAATAAATTCAAGAATTAGCAGGGAGAAAAAATGTCAGACTATGAACTAAACAATCATTTTCCAAATAAAACTAACATTGTGGCTTCACATAAAGAAGGAGATTTAGCAAACACTAATATACAGACTAGAGAAAAAAAACTCACAGTCATCTACATTTGTACACCCACCGAACATCCACAGACACAATATCCATCTACTCATATTAAGGAGGAACCAGCCTCGTGTGGAGAAGACAATCTTACTGACATTTCTAAACCCACAGAACAGCCACAGACAGAATATCCATCTATTTATATTAAGGAAGAACCCGCCTTGTGTGAAGAAGACAATCTCACAGATATTTCTAAACACACAGAACATCCACAGACCCAATATCCATCTACTCATTAAGGAGGAACCAGCCTTGTGTGAAGAAGACAATATCACAGATATTTTTAAACCCACAGAACATCCACAGACCGAATACCTATCTACTCATATTAAGGAAGAACCAGCCACGTGTGAAGAAGACAGTCTCACAGATATTTCTAAACACACAGAACATCCACAAACAGAATATCCATCTACTCATATTAAGGAGGAACCAGACTCATGTGATGAAAGAAATCTCACTGACATTTCTGCACCCACAGAACATCCACAGACACAATTTTCATCTTCTCATATTAAGGAAGAAACAGCCTCACGTGAAGAAGGAAATCTCACAAACATTTCTGCACCCACAGAACATCCACAGACACAATATCTATCTACTCATATTAAGGAGGAGCCAGCCTCGTGTGAAGAAGGAAATCTCACTGACATTTATACACCAGAACATCCACAGACAGAATATCAGTCTACTCATATTAAAGAGGAACCAGCCTTGTGTGAAGGAAATCTCACAAACATTTCTGCACCCACAGAACATCCACAGACACAATATCTATCTACTCATATTAAGGAGGAGCCAGCCTCGTGTGAAGAAGGAAATCTCACTGATATTTATACACCAGAACATCCACAGACAGAATATCAGTCTACTCATATTAAAGAGGAACCAGCCTTGTGTGAAGGAAATCTCACAAACATTTCTGCACCCACAGAACATCCACAGACAGAATATTCATCTTCTCATATTAAGGGGGAGAGAGATATGACTGAAAAATGGGAATTATGTGAAGATGTAAACATTTTAGAAACTAACATCTGTTCACTCACAGAAGATCAACAAACAGATTATTCCTCTATTCAAATTATGGGTGACTCTGCCTCTTGTGAAGGGAACTCTTCTGAGCATGATACATGTTCTACCAGCAAAAATGATCTTGTAAAGCACCAGAGAACTCACAGTAGAGAGAAACGTTTCCCTTGCTCTGAATGTGTGAAATGTTTTACCACAAAATCAAAGCTTGTTCAACATCATCGAACTCACACAGGAGAGAAACCGTTTTTTTGCTCTGAATGTGGGAAATGCTTTACCACAAAATCACATCTTATTCAGCATCATAGATCTCACACAGGCGAGAAACCGTTCTTGTGTTCTGAATGTGGGAAACGGTTCAGCCAGCGTTCCTATCTTGTTAAACATATAAGAACTCACACAGGAGAGAAGTCTTTCTCATGTTCTGACTGTGGGAATCTTTTTAGCTGGTACAAGTGTCTTGTTAGGCATCAGAGTACTCACACAAGAGAGAAACCTTTCTCATGTTCTGAATGTGGGAAATATTTTACCACAAAATCATATTTAGTTCAGCACCAGAGAACCCACACTGGAGAGAAACCTTTTTCATGTCCTGAATGTGGGAAACGGTTCAGCCAAAACTCAAATCTTGTTACACATCAGAAAACTCACACAAGAGGAAAACCTTTCTCATGTTCTGAATGTGGGAAATGTTTTAAATGTCAGTCAAATCTTGTTAAACATCAGAGAACCCACACAGTATTCTCCTGCTTGGAGTGTGGGGAATGTTTTACTTGGCATGCAAACTTTATTAGACATCAGAGAACCCACACCATATTCTCATGCTCCGAATGTGGGAAATGTTTTACATGCAATTCTAACCTTGTTAGACATCAAAGAAGTCACACTGTATTCTCGTGTTCAGAATGTGGGAAATTTTTTACGTGCAATTCTAACCTTGTTAAACATCTTAGAACTCATACAGGAGAGAAACCATTCTTTTGTTCTGAATGTGGGAAAGCTTTTAGCTATTATGAAAGCCTTGTTAGGCATCAGAGAACTCACACTGGAGAGAAACCATTCTCGTGTGATGAATGTGGGAAATATTTCAGCCATAATGCAAGCCTTGTTAGGCATCAAAGTACTCACACTAAAGAGAAGCCCTTCTCGTGTTCTGAATGTGGGAAATTTTTTATCAGTAAATCACATTTAGGTCGGCATCAGAAAACCCACACAGGAGAGAAACCTTTCTTGTGTTCTGACTGTGGGAAATGCTTTAAAAGAAAATCACATCTAATGCGACATCATAGAATTCACATACAAGAGAAACCTTTTTGAATTTGAGAAATGTTTTAGCCAATGCCAAATTGTTGGCCATGCTGAGAGCTTTTTAAAGTAGAAATATAATCACATTTTGTGTTTTGGGGCAGAGGGGGTTATATGTACAGATTATGTAGAGCCTGGGGTGATGTGCATTAACATAAAAAGCATCTTAATATGTCTGAGGATTGTGCAATATATATATATATATATATATATATATATATATACACATATTACTCATATGGGCAATAAACGATAGAGCCCACTTAGTAAAGAAAATAGACTTTGTGTTTAGCTATAGCCTATGCAGGGCCAGCTTCATGGGTGTGCGAGCTGTGCGACCCCACAGGGCACCATTACAACGGGGGCTTTGGGCAGCTGAAGCAGCTCACACACGCAGGGGCAGATAACATCAAAACTCTCCGCAACAAGTAAGGGAGGTGGAGCGGAGCTTAATAGGGCGGGCCAAATCAGCAGTTTGGTGGTGTCAAATATGGCCTCTATTAGCTGCTGTTACTGCTGCTCACTAAGGTAGAAGCAGGAATGAGTCCCTGCTTCCCCAACTACTAGACACCAGGGACTTAATTGAATCAACCCTCTTCAAGCCCATACTGTCTATAAGTGAGAGAGAGAGAGTGTGTGTGTGTGAGACTGTCTACATGTAACTGTGTGTGTGACTGCCCGGAGACTGAGTTACTGTCTACCTATAATTGTGTGTGTGACTGTGTGTGTGACTGTCTGTCTGTAATTTTGTGTGTGACTGTGTGTGTGTGATTGTCTGCCTGTGACTGTGTGTGTGTGTGAGACTGCCTGTGAATATGTTTAATTACCTGTGTGAATGTCTGTGTGTCAAAGTCTGCCTGTAACTGTGTGTGACTATCTGCTTGTAACTGTGTGTGTGACTGCCAGTAACTGTATGTGTGGGACTGTGCGCATGTGGCTTTATTTTCACAGTTAATACACATATGTGTATTACTGTGTGCATGTGACCCTGCAAAACTACACATCTGCACACATGGGCCTACATGCATTTTTATTTTTTAATCTGAATTAAATACCTACGAATATACACAGAGGTGGAGGCACAGACCAGATTCCCAGCACACTGAACCACCATAGAGATTGGCATGCCATCATCCATACAAGGTAACAACAGTGAAGGGGGGATTATATATATATATATATATATATAAAAAAAATGATTAATGTAATAAAGCCCCTATACAAACACTACTCCCCTATGCACAAATTCTATGTAACCATAGAGGGGCTTCTAATGGCCTAAGGCTGTCCCTGAACCTATGTAGAATAATGGTGGTTATTTTTGAGCAGTACTAGATATAGATGTACTATAAGTGTTTGAAAGAATGCTAGCAAAATATGTAGGGGAAGATTTATTAGAATGCCATGTTCTGAAACGTGTAAACGGACAAGATAACGAATATGCCTGCTAATTGGTTTTCATGGTGATTGTCCCACATTTAGATATTTGAGTGGTTGCACAGCAGATGGGCTACTCTGACTTTCTCGAAATTCTACAGGAAAACTCTTTCATACTTACTTGCCACCTATACCTACCTGCAGAGGCAACATCCTTAGGCACCTGCACACAGTGTGGTGACAGCCTTTAATGTCAAAGAATCACTGAGTCTTCCCACTACTGGGGCTTTCCAAGTTCCGGGCGAGGGAAACAAACAATCCCTTTACAGGTTCTTAATTCGCTCAGCCATGAAACTTCCTTGAGATCTTCCTCCCCTTCAAACGGTGGGGGTTATCATGGTCCACACTGGCGATGCTTCAAGTATTGCCTGACTCAGACAGTCTTAGCATACAGAGGCAAAAGGGCCTTGTTACAAAATGCCTTTTGTAACTTTTGTTTTATGCGACAAATTGCCCTGCTTCCCTGTATTATGGAGAAGCCTCATTGCCAGCCTTCTTCCCCATGTCTATGCACTTAGTGTGTATGGCCCTTTAAGAACCGTCTGGGGACACATTGAAACTTTTGGGAACAATGCCCATTTAAGACTGTGTCCCCAGGCCCCTAAAATACCTTGTTTGTTCCCTTTTCTGAACCAAGTACCACACAGGCGGACCACCCAGAAGTGTAAGTGTGTCGTCATTTTACCTCCCAGGCTGGGAGGCTGCTGAAGGTAAATTACCAACCGCTGGGGCGGCCATCTTTATCCAGGTGAACGCGGTCAGCGGTGTGTGCAGCCAAATTCATGGAACTGAAATCAGCTACACATTTAGCCGAACACCGCTGACCCTTACCTTCTTGGTAGTTTTCGGCCACAGAGACTAAGTACCGTTTGTGCATGCGAATAGGACTTAGTCATTTTTTCATGTGAAATTGACTGACTGCACAGCCCAAATCTATGTAACGGTTTTGGGCAGGAAAATGTGCTTGCGGTCACAAAGGACTTCCGTCTAACTTTTTAGCTACTGGAGGGATTTGTATGATTTTTGAGAGTGTTTATATTTGAAGTATGCTGAGTTTGAATATGTGATTTTTATGAAGACTGGATGTATAGTTTTAAAGTTACAGCATATGTGTAAAAAGTATATTTTTCCTGCCTGTGATAGTTACATTAAACCATTGTGTACAGTAATTATATCACAGGTAGAGGGGAGGATTTTGTGGGAATGAATGGGAGTGTTTTTCTGTAATGTACGTGTTTTATTGGTTGTTCTACAAAACCCTGTGGGCGGTACTGTATGTGTAAAACCTGCATAAAAGAAAGCCCTTTGGTGCCAATTAAAGAGAACTACTTGACCCTCTAACTCACAGCCTCGACTCGTGTTTGTAGGAGACAGCTATAATCACTAAATGCTCTTCATAATCCCTTAGCTACTGAGCTCTTGTAAGAGTTCTTGTTCCTGATCCTGCTTCGCTCTACAGAAGGAAGAGGTTCACCTACTGGAACCTGGAGCCTGGTCATAGGTCCAGGGTGGATAGCAGACAGCGAGATCCCAGCCCAGCAGTGGTGGTTCGTAGAGTCTGCAGTAGTTATGGTGTCTACGGTGCTGATGGTCCTTAGGTGAGCGCGAGGAGCATCCTTTCTATGGTCCAACTTCCAGCTAGCCTGGAGGCAACCATAACAGGCGTACTTATCAAGATTGACCTGTGCCCACAAACCAAAGACCTATTAGCAAAATACAATCTGCTGATGAAGGACTTCTTAGATGGGTTGAGACAGAGAGCAACAGTATGCCTACCTCATCCTGACCAGCTGGCTGACAATTGACACCCTCAAGACCTTGTACAGGGTGACTCAGCAAGCACCCACATCATTCAATGGCACCTTTGTAGGCTGGGAGCTAGCTTGGGTAGAAACTGCTCACACCAACCACATCCTCCAACAGCTTTGCAACAGAGGCACCATCGATCTCAATCACTGCAGCATACCAGGCAAAAGCACCCTGAACTTTATCCAAGTGTGGGACAGTGGAGGTAGGCTTAGGGCTCTTATACAGGCCTGGGGCGGGTATGAAGTGTGTGACAGGACACCCAATCAGCATCTTGCTTACAGCCTACCCTAGCCGCTGAGGTATAGTGGGCATGACCGGGAAATCTTAGCCTGCTGGAACTCTGTGCCAGATCGAGGGGCTAGTCACTGAACTTTGAACTTCTAATTCAGGCTAGCAATATCCGATCCGAGCGCTTTTCGGACACAATGGATGCTCCAGGAAGACCTTTCTGGAAATGTAGGTTCCTATATGTTTTATATGTGTTTTTTATGGTTTACATTGTTATGCTTAGTCATGCTGACACAAGAAATCTAGTTTGTATTTTTATGCTTGAAATTCATGGGCATGTTGTGGGAGTGTTCTGGGCATGGTTGACTGTACCCTTGCTGTGTATATAAGTGGACCATCTGGACATGATAAATGCATTACCTCTTCTGCTTACTAAGTGCATACTCATATGTAATCGCAATTAACTCTGTGTGACATTTTCCAAAATGTGGTTACTCGTATAAAATTTACAAAACAAATGGTGCAGTATTCTCCTACAAACTTGTTTTACCACATATGATTTTACGCTTTTTATTGTTGTTGCATATTTTTTGTATACTGCTTGAACCACAGTACAAAATGATTGACAAAAAGATGTGATACTTTTAAAGATGATTTACAAGCTGATACCTGAGCCTAACTTGGCTTAATGCATGTATAATGTAAGTGTAGGCTTTGCATGACTCTGGGAAATAAATTGGCATTATAAGTGCTCAGTTATAGCTTTAAACATTGACATTCTAGCTCTGTCTTCAGCTATAAATATTGAAAAACTGGGTCTGTGAGAGTTATTTAATGCCCCATTAATCTCTCAATGATTTCTATTCTCTGTGACAATAAAGGGGAAAGCAAAACATTTGAGATGTTTGTAATTAGAGATCATCGAACTCTAACACCAATCATTAATAAAAAAATAATCAAAACAGGCTTGTGTATGACCTACTTTTCCAACACCCTGGGTTCATGGGGAGTCCTACTGCAGAGCCCCTATCCTTTCTTGCCTCTTGTGGGATAATTAAGTGTTTGGTAATAAATAGGGCAGAGTATGTCCTGGCTTTTTGGCTATTAAATGGTACATGTCATGACAAATACAACTTACTCTGATATGATAGAAAATTTAATTTCATCTATGCATCGTGCTAGCAAATGTCTGCATTTCTCTAAAGTCAAATGTTAAAAAATAGTCCTTTCCCCATCTACTCAGGACAGACTTTGTGTGAGAGTACATCCAGCAGCAGCACAGAGAGAGGAAAGAAACAGAATGACTTTGTACAAAAGCTATAGACTCGCAGTCTGATAATGGAGAGAGAAAACAGATCTGTGTAGAGGATTTTTACCCTGAAGAGGTTTATCATACAGCAAGTGTAACACCCACTGAAAACATGATTGATGTTCTCCGCATGAGATGGATAATGGAAATAAATTAAAATATAAGTTTTTAATAGTATTAAGGAAATAAAATTTTTTATACATGAGCCAAAGCAGATGGTTAGAAAACTGCAACCTTATCACTGTCATGGAAGGTTCACTGTAATATATAATGTGAATGAGAGTATGCCCAATCATCTGGCCCTTAACCCCTTCACCACTAACTAATCTGACATGGTACTGTTACGGTTGCCTCCAGGCTGGCTGGAAGTTGGACCGTAGTAAAGAATGCTCCTAGCGCTCACCAAAGGACCATCAACACCGTAGACAACATACTACTGCGTAGCTACCATAAGTACTGCAGACTCCACGAACCACCGCTGCTGGGCTGGTATCTCGCCGTCTGCTCTGTGCCCTGGACCCACGACCAGGCTCCAGGTTCCAGTAGGTGAACCTCTTCCTTCTGTAGAGCGAAGCAGGATCAGGAACAAGAGCTCTTACAAGAGCTCAGTAGTTAAGGGAGTATGAAGAGCATAGCAATCCCTGTAGTGATTATAGCTGTCCCCTACAAACATGAGTCAAGGCTGCAAGTTAGAGGGTCAAGTCATTCTGTTTATTGGCACACAAAGAACCTTCTTTTATGCAGGTTTCCCTGAGATAGGACCACCCACAGGGTTTTACACAACAACCAATAATAAACATACATTACAGAAACACTCCCAGCAATTACACACAAAAATCCTCCCCTCTGCCTGTGATCTAATTATGGTACACAATGGGTTAACATAATTAAACACAGGCAGTAAAAATACAGTTTTTACCCATACCCTGTAACTTTAAAACCATACATCCAATCTTCATACAAATTACATATTTAGAATCAATCCATTCAGGGGAGCAACATATTAAAAAATGGCACAAATCAGACAAGGGGTTCAAAAGTTAGCAAAAGTATCTTTTGGGGCCTGGCTGGCAGCATGGTTATCTGGCCCAAACCGGTTTTACAGAGCCCTCTATCCAGGAGACAATGGGGAAAATAATCCACTTATATCCAGGGATAGAGGCAGACTCCATTAACCACATGTTAGCAAAAGACACAAAAATACACATAAATACATAACTCCTATCATACTGAACCGAACCAAACAGCGCTCAGATCCCACAAATACAGTCAAATCGCCATACACACTAGGTCCATAGTCATGGGGCAGAAGGCTGGCAGTTAGGCTTCTCCATAACACAGGGAAGCAGGGCAATTTGTCAAATAAAATAACAGTTACAAATGGCAGTCTGTAACAGGTACATCCACCAGAAACAATTGGCAAATATTGAAGTTATAGATAAGAACTTTTTTTGTATAAATAACATTTTCTTCACATATTCTCAGTCAGTATATTTCTACTGGCAGACATTTTTTGTGTTAATGCAAAAAATACAATCTAAGGATATAGAGATAAATAAAAAAATTATGGTGCAGTAAATCTAAACACCAATACGTGCTAGTGACTAATTTCACTCACTAGAAGGAATTGATTGCAGGCATATATAAAATTGCAGTGGAAGGAGCTTGGTCTTCTTTACTCTTGTCCTTAAAAGGGATTTAAGAGAAAGACACCCACATAGTGTACCAGCAGGGCCGGTGCAAGGATTTTTGCCGCCCTAGGCAAAAGTAAAGTTTGACGCCCCCCTCCTCCCCCCCGTGACATCGCAATGCCCCACCCATATGACCTGCCATGTTAACTAACGCTAGTGCTGCAGTGCCGCTGTGTTTACATTAAAAGGCCTGCAGGGACAGGCTATAGACACCAGGACCACTACATTAAGGTGCAGTGGTTCTGGGGACTATAGTGTTTCTTTAATGTGAGGTAAATTAGAGATTAGTGCCACGAATAATATACTAGATTACCTACTTACAAGCAGATGAGGATGATGATGGGCTCTAGCTGCAGTCTGGCTCCACTGGTCTGGTGTATAACAGGATCTCTGGAGGCTGTTTGTAACTGTGGTCACACAAATCAATGTTCTGGGAGAACGAGAAGCAGCTCCATTTTTTGGGGGCCCTTTACACAGCTCAAGGTCTGGGTCCCAGGGTCCACCTTCATTTTCCACCAATGAGTTTGTTCACAGGGGATGGAGTGTGTAGGGAATGTCCTGATTTGTGTGTAAGGAATGCATTGTGTGAATCTGTGTTTGTATGTGTAAGGGCTGCAAGGTGTGTTTCTGTGTATGTAAGGGATGAAGTGTGTGAGTCTGTAAGGGGTGCATTGAGTGTGTGTAAGGAATGCATTGTGTGTTTCTGTGTGTGCAAGGGATGCATTGTGTGTAAGGGTTGCATTGCGTGTGTGTGTGTAATGCATTGTGTGTAATGCATTGTGTGTTTTTCTGTGTGCAAGGGGTTCATTGTCTTTGTGTGTAAGGGGTGCATTGTGTGTGATTGTGTGTGTGTGTGTGATGGATGTCAATCTCTCCCCCCTCCCTTGTCACTCTCTTCTCCCCCCCTCCCTTGTTACTCTCATTCCCCCTCCCTCCCCTGTCACTCCCCCCTCCCTGTCAATTTCTCTCTCCCCGTCAATTCCCCTCCCTGTCAATGTCTCCCCCCCCTGTTAGTTTCTTTCCCCCCCACCTCCCTGTTAGTTTATTTCTCCCCCCTCCCCTGTCAGTTTCTTTCTCCCCCCTCCCCTGTCAGTTTCTTTCTTCCCCCCTCCCCTTCCCTCCCTGTTTCTTTCTTCCCCCTCCCTGTTTCTTTCTTCC